CCCCCCCACAAACTAGTGAAGTACGGCGGAGGAATGTCTTGGCGCCATCATTAGGGTTGTTTGGGAGGTCAATTAGGTCATTTACCTATGAATTTAAATCATTCATCCGTAAAGCTACGGGCTGGGCGTCTTAGTAAGCCAGGGAGATGCCAGTAGGCTAAGCAACTGACAACATTCAATAGCACTTGGGTATAAATTTAAGATTATTTCCATCTCATTGTACGACTCACAGGTCCGTTCAGCACGCTGACATCTAAAGGTATCTTACACCCTCAGCACTTCAACAGTTCCTCATGTCTCTTTTCAACAAGTTCAGGAGCTCCACCAACCCAGACGGCTCTAAGAAGCAATTCAGGTGGCGCGTTTCCACCAGCAATGATCCCCCAGAGATCTACAATTGGACATTGTACATGTCGGTGTTGATCTTTGGTATTCTTGGTTCCGCTCGTGGCTACGACGAGGGGTGCATCTCTGGGACCAAGACCCAAAAATCCTTTATCCACCAGTTTGGCCTTAAGGACCCGACTAAAACCGAAGACGAATTGGCCACCTTGAAGTCAAATATTACATCCATGGTGCAATTAGGTTCCATTGGTGGCTCGTTGATGGCCATATACTTTGTCGACCGGTTCGGGAGAATCAGAACCTTACAAGGGGTGTGTGCCTTCTGGGTGGTGGCTGCCATTATCCAAATCACCAGTAAAACCGTTGGCCAGTTGTACGCTGGCAGATTGCTTGAAGGGTTCTCCATCGGCCAGACCGTGGTGTGTGGTCCAACCTACTTATCAGAAGTGGCCCCTAAGAGTATCCGTGGGTTGTGTACCTGTATTTTTGCGGGAACCGTTTATTTTGGGATTATGTTGGCGTATTTTGCCAATTACGGCACTGCCCTACACGTTTCTAACACGTCCAATCTTCAGTGGATTGCACCAACCTCCATTAAGATTGTTTTAGCCGGTTTGTTGTTCATTGGGTCGGTCTTCTTTTGCATCGAAAGTCCCCGTTGGTTGATCAAGGTTGGCAAGCACGAGCAAGCGGTGAAGAACCTCTCCAAGATCAGAAATTTGCCGGTCGACCACCCGTACATTCTTAGTGAAATTGCCGATGTGAACGAGCAGGTTCAACAGTTGGAGAAAGCATCGGAGTCACATTCTATGTGGAACATTTTAGTTGAATTCTTCACCATCAAGTCGCTTAGATACAGACTCTTTTTGGGCATCGGTATTCAGATTTTGGGCCAATGGTCCGGTGCCAACGCGATTACAATCTACGCCCCCGAGTTCTTTGCCATGGTTGGAAAGGCTAAGTCCACCGATCAGTTAATGATGACTGCTATTCTTGGAGTGGTGAAGCTCACGTCCGCTTACTTATGCGCCTTCTTTGTTGTGGACTTCTTGGGAAGAAGAAAGTCTTTGTACATCGGTATTACCATCCAGCTTGTTTCTACGCTTTACTTTGCAATCTACTTGACCCTTGTTCCACAAGCGGCCGAGGACCATGTCGATTTAACGTTGTCCCAGAAGGCCGCTGGTAGAGGGGCGATGGCAATGATCTATATGAGTGGTGTGGGTTGGACTATGGGCTGGAACTCCATCCAATACTTGATCAACTCCGAAATCTTCCCCTTGCGGTCCAGAAATATCGCCACCTCTGTCATCATGGTGTTCCACTTTGCCAACCAGTATGCCAACTCCAAGGCGACTCCACACATGTTGTTGGCGATGAGTAATTATGGTGCGTTCTACTTTTTCTTTACGGTCTTGGCTATCGGTATTTCGTGGTGCTGGTTCTTTGTTCCTGAAGTGGCTGGGAGAAGTTTGGAGAGTATGGAAGAGTTGTTCAACTTGCCTTGGTACTTGATCGGAAGAAGGGGTGCTAAGTTATGTCCAGATCACACCGAGATCACGAGAGTTCACTACCACGGTGAAAAGGAAGGTGCGGCCCGCATTTCCATCTCGGACAAGGGCGAGGTTACCCACTTTGAGGGTGCTGACAGTGACTCGATTGACCAAGAGTCTTTCCATTCCAAGCATTCGGGAGATGTGCACGTCTAATCGAGCGGGCTGTGAACTATCCTTGGTGCGTTGAACGCTAGCCAGATATGTATTGGATTCTTTAGGCGAAACGGCCTAGGTCTATTTTTTTTAGCCCATTCTATTTATTTTCATTATATTACTTCCTCCTTTCGCAGCCTGGACTATCTGCAAGGCTATCTGCGGATTGCATTTCAATATTGGGGTGAGAACATTATCTGAGACTTTGCGCGTGCTATTCGGTAATTAGCTACGTTCGGACTGAGCTGAGAAAACAGGGTGATCGGCATCTTGGCTTGATTATTAACGCCAGATCTAATTTCTTGGTTCAATGGTTTACCTGGATAATACAGACTATTCTCTCCGATTTTATGTTCAGTTGGATTACTGATGCCGGTATAAGTAACAGCAAACAGGCCATGATATGTAACCAGGTTTTAGGCGTTTTCTCTGCATTGACGGAGGGGTTATGGTCACGCGAACCGTTAGTCTGTCGTTTAGTATCCCTTAGCAGCCAGGACACAATTCCATTTATCTCGAGGTTCTCGGTTATATTCTGGAACAGCTCAAAGCTTCTTTTTTTTTCTTATTATATTACGTATATTACGATTTACAGGCATTTTTATTCAATAATAGGACAGGAAGATTACTATGCCCTCCAAGTGCTTATCAAAAAGGTGCAGGATCCACGCGCATCGGCAATCACCGAGCTTCCATCGATCGAAGTCGGGAAGAAGTGTATTTTCTTTCGCGAAATCGCATGACCACAGGACTTTCTACTGTACGAGGGGACTAAAACATGAAGCCTAAAGTAATATGCATGTGTAGCCAGTGGCTAGTCGGACTTGAGATAAGTTATGACTCCATAACACTCCAATTACTGTGATTCCATTACTCAGCACTCAAAGTGTGGAGCAACCATAATATTAGTAAACCCTAGTTTATTGCGGGAAAATACAAAGTTCTCCGAAAAAAGATAGTTGCACGCTGAAGGATGCACATAGTTTTCAATAGTGGTGCCTGGGGGCTGTACGCGAAAGCTCCGGAGTACGTTATTGGCTACGATAAAGTGAGGAGACTCGAGGTAGGAGCGGCGCTTGAGACATGTAGCCCGGCAACCTACGTTATTGATGTAACCTCGCTCCATTTTTTCCTGTTTCGACCCTGTATGGTAGCTAGCAGCAGCTGCCGGGTTTTTGCCTTGTTATGCACGATCATTCTCTGCTAAACAGTCACCCGGTGCAAGATGCAGGACTTTGGTGTAGAGGGATTAATTTCTTCCGTTTCTGGCCGCGAAAACTCCAAGGATTATTTACGACATGGAGTAAGCGGGGTGAACCACGACTCTCCCCGCACTACCTGACTTAGCGTCAACTATGATAAACGGGGGGGTGAAACTACCGGCTCCGTCGTCGGAGTAAGCTTTTAAAGGTACATTAAGAACCATATGTTTTCATTGGGTCTTGACGAAAATATTTACTCAGTACGATAAGAACTTGTAGATCACTCCCCTCTAGCCGGTTTTATTTACGATCTTTTATTGCCTAATTTACCTAGCGTTTACCTTATTGGGCTGAAGCTCCATGACTGAAACTCTGGGCCTAGAGCTCCACGACTGGAGATCCGTGTCTAAAGCTCTATGATCAGAGCTCCGTAACTAAAATTCCGTGGATGAAACTCCATGGATGAAACTCCGTGGATGAAGCCCCATTGAAAATTTTCATAAAAGATTTTCCGCATTTCTAACCATACGCAATGCGCCGCATGCCGCCTGCCGCTCACGTCGCCTCAATACATTTCCCCGCGCCGCGCTGGTTTTCTCCGATGCCCAGGCCGGGTTGCACCACAAGCTTTACGGCACGGAGTGCATGCGAACATCAAGACTTATGCACACGGTCATTTTTCGCTAATTTAGGTGGAGTGTGTGCCCTAAACTAAGCCGCAGGGCCAGAGATACCCGTTGGCGGATTGTATAAATACGTCTGGCTCGCCGCGGTGGAGTGTAAATATCGGGCGTTTAGCATCAACACCTTTGAGATCGGTCTTTAATATCTTCATATTACTGTTATTCAACTAACCGACAAAGCGACTAACGTGAAGATATCTTAACATATCCTCACCCCCGTCACACGCAATACAAGTTCCCTTCTACTGCACTCATGTCCATTCTTAAGGGCTCCTCGAACCCGGAAGGGCCAAAGAAACAATTCAGGTGGCGCGTTTCCACCTCCGATGATCCCCCAGAGATCTACAACTTTACCTTGTATTTATCCGTCATGATTTTCGGTATGCTTGGTGTCGCACGTGGTTACGATGAGGGGTGCATCGCCGGTACCGTTGTCCAGCACTCCTTCATCCTGGAGTTTGGCCTTAAAAATCCTGCCAAAAGCGCTTCCCAATTAGCCAACTTGAAGTCTAACATTACCTCCATGGTCCAGTTGGGTTCCATTGGCGGGGCTTTGGTCGCTATGTACTTTGTTGATCGTTTCGGGAGAATTAGAACCTTGCAGGGTCTCTGTGCCTTCTGGATCGTTGCTGCCATTATCCAAATCACCAGTCACTCTGTTGGCCAGTTGTACGCCGGGAGATTGCTTGAGGGCTTTGCCATCGGCCAGACGGTGGTTTGTGGCCCAACCTACTTGTCGGAAGTGGCCCCAAAGAATATTCGTGGGTTGTGCAACTGTGTCTTTGCGGGTTCTGTCTACATGGGGATCATGTTGGGGTACTTTGCCAACTATGGTACCGCTTTACATGTGTCCGACACTTCCAGACTCCAGTGGGTGGCTCCGAACTCGGTGAAGATTATTTTGGCGGGCTTGTTGCTTATTGGCTCTCTCATCTTCTGTATCGAAAGTCCACGTTGGTTGATCAAGAAAGGACACCACGAAAAAGGTGTGACGAACCTTTCCAAGATTAGAAACTTGCCGGTCGACCACCCATACATTTTAAGTGAGGTTGCGGATGTTAATGAACAGATCCAGCAGTTGGAACAAGCCTCCTCTTCGCACTCCGTCTGGCAAATCATGAAGGAGTTTGGCACTGTGAGCTCTCTTAGATACAGACTTATCTTGGGTTTGTCGGCTCAGGCCTTGGGTCAATGGTCTGGCGCCAACGCGATCACAATTTACTCTCCGGAATTCTTCGCGATGGTGGGTAAGTCAACGGTTACCGAACAGTTATTGATGACGGGTGTTCTCGGGGTGGTCAAGTTCACGTCCGCTTACTTGTGTGCCTTCTTCTTTATTGATTTCTTGGGCAGAAGAAAGTCGTTGTACATCGGTATCACGACCCAATTACTTGCATCCCTCTACTTTGCAATCTACTTGAGTAAAGTGCCAGAAGCTGCCAATAAGAATGCTGTGTTGAATGCCTCCCAGAAGGCTGCCGGTAGAGGGGCAATGGCGATGATTTACATGAACGGTGTGGGTTGGACCATGGGTTGGAATTCGATTCAGTACTTGATCAACTCCGAAATTTTCCCGTTGAGATCTAGAAACGTTGCCACTTCCTTTATCATGGTGTTCCATTTTGCCAACCAGTATGCTAACTCTAAGGCGGTTCCGAGCATGTTATTGGGTATGACTGCTGCCGGCTCCTTCTACTTCTTTTTCGCCGTCTTGGTTTTGGGTCTCTTATGGTGTTGGTTCTTCTTACCTGAGGTTGCCGGTAGAAGTTTGGAGAGTATGGAGGAGTTGTTCAACTTGCCTTGGTACTTGATCGGCAGAAAGGGTGCTAAGTTGTGTCCAGATCACTCTGAGATCACGAGAGTTCACTATCACGGTGAAAAGGAGGGTGCGGCCCGCATTTCCATCTCGGACAAGGGTGAAGCAACTCACTTTGAAGGTCTTGATGCGGAAGACGATTCGCTTCAATCAAAGCATTCGAATGACATCCGTGTTTGATACACAGTGTCCCCCTTATTTTTATAGTCAACACAAATGCTAGCGTTACAGGCATCAAATACATTATCGAACTTGCCATATAAAAGCTAGGTTAGGGTGCTTCCCATATGCCTTTTTCCTAAACTCCAGAAGCGCTGGCGTAAACGGGAACTATAATTTCCCATAACTGGATGAACCGGCGTTTAGATTAGCCTAGGTTAGAACTAAGGAACTTTTTGGGGAGATACCCAAAGTCAAAACGTGATACTGATAACTGTAGACGCCCAGTCTCGGATGATAGCACCGGGAAATTTTGTTAGCCTGAATAATAAATAATCCTTGTGTATTTGGCTGCAAACAAATGCAAGGCTTAAGAAATCTTCCAAACTCCACCTTCGCCCGCTTATACTCCAATGTGCCCCATGACCTTTCAAACCGACAAAGACGGTATACTTTCTCCCCAGTTTTTCCTGTATCTTTAAATCCGCGTATGTCTCCACAATCGCGCTTATCTAATCGGCACGTGATGCCACCGGAGAACGATTTGATGTTGTATGCAAATCGCTGAGAAATTTACACAAAGCACCAACGCCATCGTGTTTCTAGTTTCACTTACACCAATTTTATATAACCAACCGGGCCCGCAACTCCCGAAATCGGAAGGCAGTACACGCATAGTTTACCACCACTTGCTGAATAAACACACCCGGTGCTTTTTACCACCCGAGACCTAACGTTGCTATGGCGCCTTGGATTCCCCAGAACATACAGAAGCGACTCTTGCGCTATGTACTCCAGCAGCTTTCGCTCTTTTCGGAGATTGATTTGCCAAACGTGGACGTATCCCTTGGAACCCAGTCACAAATCTCACTCAGAGACCTCCAGCTAGATCCCGACAAGGTCTCCATTCCGGGGATGTCAATGCGAGGCGGGCTCGTTAAGGAGCTAGAGCTACGGTTGACGGTTACGGACGGAATCAGCATCGATGCCAGCGGGGTGGAAATCATTCTTGCTCCTACCGTCAACTCCACCGCCAAAGAAACCGGCTTCTCCCTCGCCCAGAGCCGCAACGATCTCGCCAGCAGCGTCATGGTGGGGTTTGCCGATGAAGGAACCAGCGAGGAGTCTAGTGAGGAAGAGGCTAAGGATTCTGGTGCGGCTTTGAGCGGAGTGATGGCCAGGGCTGCTGAAATGGCGTTGGCGCGCATTCTGGTAAAGATCTCCGACGTTCGACTCCGCATCATCTCGGACCAAGCCACGGTCGATGTAGTGGCCGCAAAGGTCGCATTTCTGGTTGAGGAGGGGGTCCGAAATGTCCTGGTGGAGGGTGTTGAGTGCATTATGGTCAAGCCCGAGGTCCATCCGGGAACCTACCAGAACGCTGAGTCTGAGGGAAACACCTCCGATTCTGGGTCCGATTCCGACTTTGACGAGGATGCGATGTCTGGTTCCATGACGGCGGAAGATGGCAGAAAGTCGCTCTTCCAGAGCGCCTACTTTTCCCACGAAGAGGCTAGCTCGCTTTACATGAGCGCCAACTCTAATGTCTTGGGCCCTAAAAAGGATGGCCCAGAAAAACCCGCCGTTCGGTTGCTCCACGTCAATACCGCCACGATTTCATTCAAAGGGTTGTCCGACATTGAAGACCTAGACGTCTGCATTGATTCCATCAAGGTGGCGGCTACGCCCTTTCCTGAGGCTGTGGCTGAGATCCTTGGCTCGCTCACCCGTTTGAAGAAACTCAATGCGGTGCTTCAGAGAAAAGCCATGGGGGTCCGTGGGAGCAAGTCCCAGGAGGAAGAAGCTGACACCGAAGAAGATCCCGTCTCGCCGTTTAGGGGCTTGAGCGTTGAGCAGGTGGCAATGAGTTTCACGTCCGCCTTATTGGCTAACGGGCAGTTCTTTGATCCCGCCGCTCTTTGTCTCAACCTCAGCGGCTTGGAAGTGACCCAAAAGAACTCAGACTTGCTTTTCGGGGGCGCAGCCAAGATCGCTATCCTAAACGGGTGCGGCACGGTGATGCAGTTTTGTAGTGAATCCACGGAGCCCAAAAAGGACATGTTGTTTGAGATTCTGAAGAACCCGACCACAAAACAGCAGGAGATCACAGTCCTCTTGCCTAAGAGGGTGGAGTTGAGACTAGACAGCGACAGCTTGACCCCTTTTCTCGAGCTCAACCACAAACTAGGGCCTGTCTTGGACGTCTACACAAGGTTTTCCGCAGCAGCCGGTACTTCGACCGCCCCTGGGGCCAAGCCCAAAGTCATATTTCAGTCCTCCTTGGTCGATATCCAGCTTGCCTTGAACCCGGCTCATATTTTGCATTTGAAGGTGTTGCCTGTTTCGTACAACTCTGTAGACGGGATCGCCAGCATCAAGAAGCTCTATGTGAGTGATACAGCACAGGCCAATGACGAAATTTTGACCCTTACAGCCATCCAGTACCACGTTTTCCCCGAGGCCAGGAGAATCAAGTCCTTGGAGAAGTCTCGCCAAAACGGACATCTAACTACAACCTGCAAGCTATCGATTGATGGCATCAACTTTTTGCACGATTTCGAAAAATTAAAGGTTATACGGGAGGCCTGGAGCGTTTTTGTCCAAACGTTGCCAAAATTCCCCTCTCCATCTCCGAAGCCTGCGTCGCCTCTTAAAAGCTCCAGAATCGGCGGTTCGGTGTACTTTCAGACCGTCAGAAAGGCGCTCTCCCTTTACATCGAAATCAAGCAGATAAGCGTGAACTTTTCCCAGGTTGCTGAAAACTTTGGAAATCTTAATGCCGTCACGCACGAGGTGTCAGCACACCTTTACAACACCGGCGAATGGAACGTGTTTGTTATGGGTGGTGTGGTCTCGCGAAGCCATGGAAAAACGAGGGAAACGGTTCTTGAGAAGGCAATCCAGGAAGACCGCAGCTCTCCGATCATTGCGGTAAAGTCCCCCGACCCGAGCATCATCACTGTTACGTTGAGTAACCTTTTGCTTGAATACTACGCCAATTGGATACAACTCCTTGGTGCAGATAGCCAGGGAAGCTCCACGGTAGAGAACGGAGTGTCGGAGGTTGACGGAAACGATGCGAAGGCTAATCCGCCACAGATCAGAGTAGTCTTGGTGGATTGTATTACGGGCCTTAACCCAGGAAGGCTCAAGGCAAAAGGGTTGTTAGTGATCCAGAAAGGTACGGTGGATGTGGCAATGGGCGCGGAAATCAAGGTCAAGACAAGCATCAAGTCAGCCTCGCTTCTCTTGATAGACAACGCTGCTAACGTGTTGAGCCCCCATGAGTGCAAAAGCAAGCGTCTTTTCAACGTCAGTGGGGAGAATCCGGCCCTCACATGGTCCCATACCTCGTGGTACTGTCTGCGGGGGTTTGTTTCCGTGGGTGAGGTAGCCTCCTTGCAGGTGGATGTAGTGGTTAACGATGCCAAATCGTTACGATCGACGGCTAAGCGCGTACTAGCCCTAGTAGAGGTGAAAATCCACTCCAATACTTGGAAGCTTGAACTCTGCCCTGACTCTTCTCAAACGCTAACCCTGATCATCACCGATTTGAAGCAGCCGGTGGTATTTCGGGACGAAGAAAAATACCTCAGACAAGCACCCGAGGGTACTGACGTGTTCCAGGATGTGGACGAGAGTGCCTTCTGCTACAACGCGAGCAAGATCTCTCTCCCCAGTAGCTCATCAAATTCACTAAACATGGTGAATAGCTTTTACAACTCCCAGATGGAGGGCAATTCCAGAGACAATTCGCTTGTTTCAGACGGCACTGAGACGCAATCCAGCAGAGATCGCCTTTCGCTCCACCTTGACTTTGACGAAGACCACTTCTCAAACGAGCCAGAGGCTCAGGAGCGTGTTACCTCTCAGGACGAGTCCTCAAGCGCGATTTGCCCAATGAAGCTTTACTTTGATGCCACCTCGGTGAGTATTGGGTTGTACGACGGGTTTGATTGGAAAGAAACGCGGCAGACAGTGGGTAATGCCATCAAGCGGATCGAAACCAAGGCGCTGGAGGAGAACCGGAAGCGAGGTGGCTCCAAAACACCTACGAGTGAGAGGTCACGGAGAAGTTCCCATGATAAAGGGTACGTCAATTTGAACAGCGAGTATGTTGGCGATGATTACAACGTTATAGGTGAAACCATTTATGATTCCATCCATGTCTCGTTCCCTATTGGTAAGGACCCGGCCGAATTGATCACTGGTATTAACAAAACCGTCATGGAGGAGGAAGCCACCCCCCAGGGTGAAATTTCGATTGGAAAGTATGCCCGAAAGTTGAGGCTCCGTCGCTCCAAGTTCCAAAAGATCCAGCTTATCGCAACCGGTGTCCACGCGGAGGTGAATGTTCTAGCTTCCGACGATCCGTCTGTAAGAGAGACGCTTGATATTCGACGAGACATGGACGACGACGACTCCCAGATTATGACCTCTATCGACGTGCGGGTCGACAACTTTGAAATCATCGATAACGTCCCCACCTCCACCTGGAACAAATTTTTGTCCTACATGAGAGATGCCGGTGACCGGGAGGAGGGTATTTCAATGTTGCATGTTGCGATAGACATGGTGAAGCCGATTCGAGAGCTTGCAACCGTAGAGCTTGTGTTGACAGTGAAGGTCTTGCCGGTGCGATTGTATGTCGACCAAGACACGTTGGACTTTCTCACGCGGTTTGGCGAGTTTAAGGACTCGCGGTTTTTGTTGGAGAGCCCAGATGACGAGATCTTGTACATTCGCAAAACGGTGGTGGACGCAGTGAAGTTGAAGCTCGACTATAAGCCGAAGAAGATCGACTACATGAGCTTACGTTCGGGCCGAACCTCCGAGTTTGTCAACTTTTTTATCCTTGACGAGTCGTCCATGACCCTACGCCGGGTTGTATTGTTCGGAGTTGCTGGGATTCCCAAGTTGGTGGAACTTCTCAAGGCAATCTGGACGCCCGACGTTTGCGCTAACCAGTTGCCAGGGGTTTTGGCTGGCTTGGCGCCGGTAAAGTCCATTGTGAAGATTGGGGCGGGGTTCAAGGACTTGGTGGCGGTGCCGATCAAGGAATACAGAAAAGACAAACGGCTTGTTCGGTCGCTTCAAAAGGGTGCAATGTCTTTCGCCAAAACGACAGGAAGCGAGTTGTTAAAGTTTGGCGTCAAGGTTGCCGCTGGCACCCAAGCTATCTTGGAGAACGCCGAGGAGGCGATGGGTGGCGACGGCGCTGCTTCCAGGTTAAACTCTCCTCATAGAGCGATAGATGATCTGGATGACTCTGAAGAGCCTAGCAGTCCTGACAAGCGGAACAATGAGATGAACTCGTCGCAGTTGATTGGCCGAAGTTCGTTATCCAACAGTTTCATGGATCCGTTTGCACAGAGGTCTATGTACAGATCTCGTTTGCAGACGTATAACGAGGAAGGGGAAGACATTGACGAGGATGCGTTCATGGCTACATCTCATAAGAGTAAGGCGAGTAATGCAGACTTTCTCGACATCCAACACCGATACAATGTTGGCGAAACGGAATACGACGAGGAGGAGGAAGATAACGAAAGCCAGAAGGTTATTTCTCTCTACGCTCAACAGCCTGTTGATGTGAAGGAGGGTTTCCAGGATGCGTACAGGAGTCTCGGTCACAACTTGGATGTGGCCAGAAAGGCGATTGTGAATGCTGGTGCGGAGGCCGCCGATGTGGGTAGTGCTCAGGGAACTGCAGCTGCATTGGCTCGAGCTGCTCCTGTAGCCCTTCTCCGCCCGATGATTGGGGCGACGGAAGCCTTTTCCAGGGCGTTGATGGGGGCTACCAACCAGTTGGACCCCGAGGAGCGGTTGAGATTGCAAGAGAAGTACAAGCTGCTTCTGACGGGGCGGTTGTTTTAAGCCCTTGTATGTGTTTAGTTTCCAGCCTCGCCGAAGTCTATGAAAACGTTTGGAATGTGTTAGAGACCAGCTTTGTAGTAAACGTGTATTCTAGAGTACAGTATCGATACGGTTTCTTAAATGGAGAAGCCCTATTGATATATTGTAGAACCCTGCTTTTGGGGAGTTTTCTATGCAAATAGCTAAATGAACTTTGGTGTGTCGTGTTTTATATCCCGATTCGTAAATATCTATTGATTTTACACGATACTTCCATAACCGATTGCGAAAGAGCCCCCGCTACCTTGACTTTAACCTTTTGTCAAATCGCAATTTTTCCAGGTCCCCAAATCCATCGTATTTGACGTTTTAACCAATTTCTGGGCTTAATGGGCGCATCCTGGTCAATACCCAAAACATAGCCAACACTCGATAGACTTCCTCATGTGATGTATAATTTAAGCGGTGCTGACAAACGGCCGCCGTCCCACAGGGCACGTGCACTTGGCCCTTAGACAAAAAAAAAAAAAAAGAGGCGATAAAAATATTTTAAGCTGCAGGACAAACATTTCTTAGTCATTAAGCAGCGTACAAGTCAGCGCAAATCAACTCCACCATCTCGATACACGCTGCATCACACCCAAAATGAGCGCTCTTCTATCGGCAGACGACCTAAATGACTTTATATCTCCCGGTTTGGCCTGTATTAAGCCGGTACCCGTGACGAAAAGATCCGCAGAGGAGGCTGAGATCCAAATCGACTCCTTCGGAAACCCGCTGGAGGTCTCTATTGACGGCACCACTACGACCTTATCGGCGGCGCAGATTTCCCTTTCTGACTGCTTAGCATGTTCTGGGTGTATTACCTCGGCGGAAGAAGTGCTTGTGGCGAAACATTCGCACAATGAATTGCTCAAGGCCTTGAAGGGCGGCGAGAAGCATTTTGTCGCCAGTATTTGCCACCAGTCGCGGGCCTCTCTCGCCACTGCCTTTGGCCTTTCGGTAGAGCAAGTGGACAAGTGTTTGGTCAATCTTTTTGTGAATCGCCTCGGCTTTAAATACATTGTCGGGACCGGTCTCGGGCGCAAGCTCTCCCTCTTGTCGGAGTCAGCCAAGATCAACCAGAGTAAGGCTGACGGTGTGATGGGCCCCATCCTCTCCAGCATCTGCCCCGGCTGGGTCTGCTACGCTGAGAAAACCCATCCCTATATCCTCCCTCGCATGTCGACCGTAAAGTCTCCGCAGCAGATCACCGGCTGCATCCTCAAGGAGTTGAGCACCCAGGCTCTACAAGCTCCAAGAGAGCAGGTGTACCATCTATCGATTATGCCATGCTTTGACAAGAAGCTCGAAGCAGCCAGGCCCGAAAAACAGGAGGAGGGACACGAGGCGGAGGAAGATCCGGACGTGGACTGTGTTATTACCGCTAAAGAGTTGATCCAGTTACTAGAGCAGGAAGGTTTCGACTTCCTCGACACATCCAACGACCCAACGTTGCAAAATGTAGAGATATTCGCACTTTACACAAGAGCCGCGCCCCCAGCCTGGCCGTTTATCCACCAAACCTGGCTCAACAACGTGGGCTCCAGCTCTGGTGGCTACGGCTTGAACTATCTTCTTGCTTTGCAAGCGCAGAACAGCCATAGAGCTACTACCATCCGACGCATCGAGGGAAGGAACTCGGATATCTGGGAGCTTCGGTTGGTGGACGAGGCCTCGGGCGAGAGCTTGGGGTCCGCTGCTATCGTGAATGGTTTCAGAAACATCCAAAACTTAGTTCGGAAGTTGAAGCCGACTCCTGTAGGTGCCAAAATAGGTAGTTTGGCTTCTGCTCGTCGTGGAAGAAGAGCCAAGCCGGAAGCAGAGGCACCAGTTGCAGATGCGTCCAAGTGTGATTACGTGGAGATTATGGCCTGTCCAAGTGGCTGTATCAACGGCGGGGGACAGGTTTCGTCCAAAAACGGGCTAAATGACAAAGTGTGGATTCAGGAAACCGAAGCAAAGTACTATTCGATCCCCATCGCTGAGTCTTCCGCGGTGGAGATTGCTCAGTGGGTAGAGGAATTCTGCGGTCACTTCAAAGTGGAAGAGACTAGGTTGCTACACACATATTTTATGAAGGTGGAGCAACCGACGGATCCGGCGGTAGTGTTGTTAGGGGCGAAATGGTAGTGAGCAGCTGCGATTTTGGTGAAATATATTTATAAGGATGTAAAAATAAACAAGGCTTACGGTTTGGCATGCTTGGCGTAGACTGTTAATAGTGATAGCTTGGAGGTTATCATTCAGAAATCATCTGTTGAAGACAACTGGTAAAGGCTCCAGTATGGATGCCCCCAACATGAGTAATTCCACTTATCTGGTATACTTTCTGGTCATTGCTAGAGACAAATTGAGTCTGTGAACGTTTTGATTGAAGGGCAAAAAAAATAGAACCCGACGCGGGGGTCGAACCCGCAACCTTGTGATCGCGTACTGCTAAGAGTCACACGCTCTACCGATTGAGCTAGCCAGGCTACTAGTTGAATACTAGTAGCTTTATGTATGTGATACCTGATGAATCATGTACAATGAAATTATATTATTGTTCATATGGAGATATATAACACAAATATTTAAATAAATATATACAAATATACAAATATTCAAGCATATCTTGAAATTAAACCCTAAAATTAAGTTATATTTTCATGTATGTGTTATATATCTCCATATAAACAATTTTATAGTTTCATTATAAGCTCAACGAAATACATAACTAAAACATGGTATTTATGATTTACTTGGAGGAACATTTCAAACATTGATAATATAGTCACGGTCCGGTCCATTTAACCTAATACATGACTCTCATCTCTCTTCAATCTATTCTGGAGCTTAAACATCCGCTTATCTCGGACCAGCATAGAAACGTCTTCTGCCGGACTCTCCCGGGGGAATCCTTCGATCTACGGACCGGTAATCTTCTACCAAACACCTAATTAGGGCCGAAAGCGTAAACACTGAATCTTGACAAAACCTCTCGTCACCTTCAGTCAGCAGGATAATTTTAGGGCTGCCAAATTCTAGATTACTTTAGCACCCAGAATGCAGCGTGCGATCACGGGCACACGTGCCAAGCTACCAGTATTAACATTAACACACATGCCAAACTACCAATATTAACATTAGCCGGGGAGGGGATATCGCTTGTTGCCAATTTACCCTTCGGAAGAGGGGTAGTTTCATGCGCCACCCCACGTAGGCCCGTCATTCTTCCGGGTCAAACACGCCACATGATCTCGGAGTTTTCGTAGTCGCCACCTTCGGCAGCCATCTCCTCTGTCTGTCACGCACATAATTGGACATTCTCCATGACTAATCTGCAAGTAATCTGCGACGGCATTGCACGTGATGTAGCGCAAGCCACATCAGATCCCAGAAACGGGTCCCGCGCCACCTATCCGAAGAGCAAGCAATGAGACGGGGCGCTTCAAACCGGATATCGCGGCTGCGGTGCTTCTAGACGATGCCTTGATAGCGCCAGTGCTTAATAAGCGCCAGGTCGAAGCCCAACCGAGCACCGAACGCCGATATAAATTGCGCTCCGCACCCCTTGAATTTGCAGCTCAATTGCATCCTTCTCACATACACTTTTTTGTTCTTGACCCCAGCAGAAGCACCCTTATAGAACAAACATACAATGTCCCCGCTTGTTGAATTCAAGAACCAGGCGTCCATCGTCGTGTTCGGCGCCTCCGGCGATCTCGCCAAGAAGAAGACCTACCCAGCTCTTTTCGGATTAGTATGTATAAAAAGCATTGGGGAACCAGAGGAGGTTTTTTCCGTCTGCAGAGAATTGGTAGCAAGGACACGGCAATTAATGGGGACCACGTGGGAATTGTGACAGCCAAACATTATGTTTAGAGTTTGAGAGCCACATAGCAATCGCAAAAGTGGATCAAATCTTGATCAATTAGCAATTGTTTCGTTGAATGGGTTCTTGCACTGCCAATTGATAAATGGTTGAGGTTTCAAGATTTCACCGAGCCTCTGGCTTTTTTCTGCAAGTCCACATCACCCGTCAGGTAAAGATTTTCCATTCGTATTTTCTTCTCCCACTTCTGGTGCCTTCGGTTGAATTCTCATTCCCCTCGTGTGATGATCACTGGATTATACTAACACCCCTAGTTTTGCCATGGCGAATTACCTGCCACCGTCAAGATCATCGGGTTTGCGCGCTCCAAGATGACCGAGGAGGAGTACAAGAAGCGAATCTCCGAGCACTTCAAGATCAGTGAGAACGACACACAAGGCCAGGAGTTCAAGACCAAGTTCTTGGAGCTTTGCTCGTACATTTCCGCACCATACGACTCCGACGAGGGATACGTTGAGTTGGAAAAGCAGATCGACGATTTTGACGCGCACCACAGCCACGACAAGACCCAGAGATTGTTCTACCTCGCGCTTCCACCGTCTGCGTTCATCACCGTCGCGAAGCAGTTGAAGAAGAACGTGCACCCGCGCGAAAAGGGCCACGCCAAGCTCATTGTCGAAAAGCCGTTTGGCCATGATTTGAAGTCTGCGCGCGAGTTGCAGGCTTCGTTGGCCCCATTGTGGTCGGAGGACGAGTTGTACCGTATCGACCACTATCTCGGCAAGGAGATGGTCAAGAACTTGCTCGTGATGCGTTTTGGGAACGAGATTCTCGGCGCGGCCTGGAACAAGAACCACATCAGATCCATCCAGATCACCTTCAAGGAGCCGTTCGGCACTGAGGGCAGAGGTGGCTACTTCGACGACATCGGCATGATCAGAGACGTTATCCAGAACCATTTGTTGCAGGTATTGACGTTGTTGACGATGGAAAGACCGGTTTCTAACGACCCAGAGGCCGTGCGTGACGAAAAGGTCAAGGTCTTGAAGGCCTTCGACACTGATATCTCGCTCGACGACGATGTCTTGTTGGGCCAGTACACCAGGTCTGCCGACGGCACCAAGCCAGCGTACTTGGATGACGAAACCGTCAAGGCGGGCTCCAAGTGCGTGACCTACGCTGCCATTGGGATGCAGATCCACAACGAGAGATGGGAGGGGGTTCCAATCGTCTTGAGAGCTGGTAAGGCCTTGGACGAGGGGAAGGTTGAAATCCGCATCCAGTTCAAGCAGGTTGCTAAGGGCTTATTCACCGATGTCAACCGCAACGAGCTTGTGATGCGCATCCAGCCAAACGAGGCGGTCTACATGAAGTTGAACAACAAGACTCCGGGTTTGTCGTTGGCTACCACAACTTCCGAGTTGGACTTGACCTATGCCAACCGCTACTCCAAGGACTTCTGGATCCCTGAGGCGTACGAGTCTTTGATCAGAGACTGCTTGTTGGGCAACCACGCCAATTTTGTCAGAGATGACGAGTTGGAGATCTCCTGGAAGTTGTTCACGCCGTTGTTGGAAAAGATCGAGGCGGCCGACGGTCCAACGCCGTTCTTGTATCCATACGGCTCCAGAGGGCCTCTGGAAGGCCCAGAGTTTATGAAGAAGCACGGTTATGTCAAGTCTGAGAGCAATTACCAGTGGCCGTTGACCCGTCCTAGCGAAGAAAAGTCAAAGATCTAAGCGGGGGCAGTCTGTATACTATGAAGGTTACGATGAAAATGATCAAGTGTAGGGGGTTAGCGAGATGCGAGCAGTTTTTTTTTGTAAGTATTGGTTTGTAGGAAACTAGCCGGGTTTGAGTAGTTTACTGAGTTTTGACTTGGAATGAATTTTTTTAACGGATGGAGGTAAAGGGTTATAGCGGGGCTAGGTGGGCGAACTTCTGGATACAAAATCCGCAACCAAATCAGTCGCCAATCCCAAACAGCTTCAGTGTAGTAAAACACATTCAATAAGGCAAATCCAACACTCCTGGTAGTCTCCACAGTCTCTCACGACCGAAATGTCATACCTGGAAAGGGTAGCTTTATGGCTTAACCTCAATAGCACATCCACTACACGCGCTCTACATGGCAAAGCCAGATAACAACTGTACATAACTCCAACTACTTCATTATCACCTGCTTGACGAGTGCCACCACGATCGCGGCCACGGCGCAGTACACGAACACACTCCTTCCCCCGTTTCGGGTCGTCACGACCTTCGTGGCCATGGCGCGCGCACGGTCCTCTGGATCGAGCAACGTTGCATTCTCCACAACCGTTTCCGCCTCGAGTCTCGCGAGATCCATCTGGTTCGCTTCCTCACGCAAAAGCGGCTTTTTTTTTGGCGGCGCAGCCAACTCGCGCTTATTCGCCTCCACTACCTCGGGGAAGTGCTTCACAAACCGGCTATTCTCCGCAACGTTCCACACCTTAGACTCGACCGCCAACTGCTTCTTGTGCGCGTCACTTGTGGCAATGGATCCCGTAGTTGACTCGTTGCCGGTCATGAAGCTCAACATCCCCGTGAGAATCGTGGCCACCGACCACGCCGGGTTCCACTGGTCTGGGTGATAGTCGCTCATTGAGAGGCACAATCGCGAGTTTGTCTTGAAGCGGCCCAGCGGCGTGATCATGCGAATGGCCGGCGGCTTGAACGGATACTCGCTCGTGAACGTAAGCGTGCCATGGTACTGGCCGCCGTCGTATGGTGTGTCCGGTGGGCCCAGGAGAATGTAGTGCCACTCAAGTATGTTGTCCTCATTCGGGCGAGCCTCGATGAACTGCGGCGGATTCTCCACAATGAGTTTGTACTCGCGGGTAAGGCGCTTGTGTGCTTGCTTGGAGGCCATAATATATGGTGTGTCTAGTGGACTTTAGCAAAAAAATATGAGCAACAGAAACGCGGACAATAGAAATATGGGCAATATAAATATAAGCAATATACTGTTTGGGATAAAACGGAAACAATAGCGGATAAGCTACACAGTGCTGAGTCTCTTTGCTAGATCTTTATCGGGAAATTTAATCTCCATCGACAGGGCTGCTAACCGAAGGAATGCGAAGGGATGACACTTACAAATAAAAGCTTAACAGCACAAAATATAACGCTAAGAGTGTGTATTAAATGCTAAGAGTGTATGGTTAGGTGTTTGCAATTATTCTAACAGTATCAACTGGCATAAGCTCCTATCTGGGGAGACTTCTACCAAACCTCCACCCTTCATATGGTATCAATCTACGTACGTTTGCGGTTCGGAGGTTAAGTGAAGAGCTGCCTTTAGGGAATGAGCATCGAAAGGCTGCCGGAAGACCTAGTTCCTTCCCGAGACGTCTCTCAAATGCTACCAAGTTTAGTGCGCCGTCTGGCTTCCAGCTATATTATTAACACGTGACCTATATCCAGAACGGTACACCCTGTCATCTTTGCTCACTTTAGCGTTTTGGGCTGACGTCACGAACTTACTCCGTAGATTTTGAAGCCTCTGGAAAGCTTTTGTATACTGCGAAAATAAAGCGTCATTTGTTAATAGTAAGAAGAAAAAAGTAGAAGGACAACCCGAGGCGGGACTCGAACCCGCAATCCCCGCCTTCGGAAAGCGATACCTTAACCAATTAGGCCACAAGGGCTTGTCAATCTGACAGATTTTCCGGGTTTTGCGCTTTAACCAGAATGAGGGGTCCAGGTTCTTCAAGCGGCTCCACATAGACCCTTTTGTTAAATCCACAACGGTCCCAAGACCAAGCGCCAGTTTATATATCTCCTAGTAAAACTTGCCTTTTACCAAGGCTATATTTCGTCATGTTGTGTATGTGTTCAAGCAGCCTTCATCATTCGTGCATCTTAGACCATTCAAATATCTATGTGAGGTCGATTATCTCGGCTTTACTATCATATGCATCGTCTGATGACAATACCACATGTTCAGGTGTTTCATGGGGGTCTAGATAGCTCATTGAAGGTTGATGAGCCGTGGATACCCCGCCAGCTTTTCAGGGATATATTTCTAGTAAATTGCGTGTTATTGGGCCGAGGATCTACGGTTCTTTTTAGTCCTTTATTGGTGTCGTTTCCAAAGTTTCTATTTAATAGTCCACTTGACCGAAACACTACATTTATAAACAGTTCGGGTTTCCTTGTCCTTTGAAGTGAATAACCATAGCTTAGTCAGGGTTCAGCCATAGCTTAGTCATAGCTCAGTCACAACTCAGTCAACACCTTAACTAGACCTTTCATCAACGCCACTACAACGATGATTGCGACCTCGACAAGGCCCTACCCGCCAGACTCATCTTTCCTCTGGCCTTGACCACTTTGAACGGCCGATCAGGCACAGGCAGAAGCACCGGTTTCTGGTTCTCCACATCAACAATATCATCCATACTCGTATCATCAACCGGAACCGGTACAATCTTCAAGGGCCCGGTCTTCAACTTGTTCTCTAGCATCCGCTGCATCACAGTCTCTCGAGAAACCGTCCGTGGTGCCACCCTCGTATACTCATAGCTTTTTCGCTCCGGAACTTGGCTATCCTCAAGCCTCAATTCCGTAGCGGTAAGCTTCCCCTGAATCTTGTCCACCATTCCAGTGCTTTTCTGGCGAAACTCACCTAACGCGTGCGCTTGCGCCAGCACAAACCCACTCACAACCGGTTCAATTCCTACCAAGTTGCGGTTAAACTCCTGCAAATCGCGGGAAATCGCGCTGAACGACTGTTGCCCGAGATGGGTTACATCCTCAAGCAAAGCGCAAGAAGAAGCGATGTTTTCGACATTCGCACGCTTCAAACTGACGGAAAAGTCGTCGAGCGGGCGCATCAGCTGCTCCAAACGATCCTGGTCCATGCACTCAAGAGTCTCGCCCGCAATCACCTCCAGGAAACGGCCCATAACCACCGACGTGAGCTGGCTCTGTTCGATTAAGTGCTCTTTGATAGCCCGCCTGTCTTGCTTCAGCTGCGTTTGGAAGCTCGCCAAGGCACTGGAAAAGACCGTGCTGTGCTCAGCATAACCCTCAGCAAACGCATTATTAGTCGTAGCCAAGTCCGAAAGCACCGACGTTACCGCACCGAACGTGTCCTCCTCCCGTTGCTGCTGCGCCTGGGAATACCCTGCAACCAACAGAGCGATACCAGCCAACAACGACTGCTGCTGCTGCAAACCCGCGTCCTTTTGTTGCTGTGCCCTCTGGTCGAGGGTATCTCGTTTGCTTCCAATGGTCTGGCTGAAGCTAGCCCGGTGTTGCTCCACCTGGCCCCGCAAGTCCGCCACCTGGCGCTCCTGGAGCCGGACGTGCTCCAGAAGGGTATCACAGAAGAGCTTGAACTTTGTGCCGATGGCGTGATAGGACATCTGCATCGATATCTTGATTTCCTCAACGTTTTCCAACACCTCACGCTTGAATTGGTCTGACCGGGCCTGGAGACGGGCCAAGTCTCCACTAATCTCGTCCTTCAACGCGTTTTTGACATCACTCATCGCGGTAATCGCTTCGTCCACGGTATTAGATTCCAGCGAGAGCTTGGCCACGATATGGTCCATCTTAAGCGCGAAGCTATCGCCAATTCGGGCCACGCCGTCAATTTGAAGCACTAGCTTTTCGTTTTCCGCCGCAATGGCAGAGGAAAAGTCAGTACTGAGAGAGTCAAGAAGCTCCGAGGACCGGTATTCAAACTGGGAAATCTCCTCCTGGACGCACTTGCTCTGCCCTAGAAGAGACGTCTGTGTCTCCTTCCACATCGCAATGTTCTCCCCTTGAACCTCCCCCTTACGCGAAACCATCTCACTCAACGCTTCCTTCTCCCTAACACACTCGTCTAGCATCCCTGAAAGCTCCGCATGGATCCCCACCAATGCTTCTTCCGTCCGAGCATACTCATCCCTGACGGCAACTTCCACGTTCAAAGCCTCTCTGGCCTGGATGAACCGCGCTTCGGTGTCGTGCAACTGCTTCTTGGTATCCTCCAACGCCGTCTGGGAGGCCTGGTACGCCCGCTCAGCCTCGGCTATCACTCGGCTCTGTGCTTCGAACTGGCCCTTGTACTTCCGGGCCTGCTCCTCCAAGAGCTCGATCCGCAACCGCTGTTCTTCTGTCTGGATTCTGCGGCTCTCGCTAACATCTTCCATCGTTCTGAACGCGTCTTCGGCCAAATAGATCCCGTTTTTCAGCCGGGTGGCATCCAACTCGCTCTTCAAGCGTGAAATCTCCGCCGTATACTCTGCCACCGACAACTTTTTGGACATGCTCTGGTTCACCTGGGGCTTGTTTTTGATGCTCTTTGCCCGGTTGGCGTACTCGAGAGTGCTCATCGTCTCGTCTAGCGATACCTTTGCCGGTGAAATGGTTGCGATAATACACGTTTTGGTTTTCCCTCCCAATGAGTCCTGAAGTAACCGCGTGAGCTTTGATTCTCGGTACGGAACGTGCGGCGACTGCTCCACCAACGCATTAATAACCCTTCCGAGCGTAAGCAAGCTCTGGTTGATCATCCCCGCCTCTCTGGCGCGCTTGTTTTCCGCCCCGGACCGGTTGATATTCTCAGAACCGGCCAAATCCACGAGATTGAGCTTTCCCACCTTCACCAGCTCTTCCCCCGACGGATCCGTGGTTTTCATGTGGACGGTGAGGGTAAACACCGAGTGGGAACGCGATGAGAGGTCGTTGCACTGGGTGGAGGCCACCTGGCGGCGGTACGACCCTTCAGCCAAGAGCTTGAGCCCTTCGCTGGCGGAGGTGATGTAGCGTTCCTCCATGCCCTGGACCGCGATCGACTTTCTGAGCGGGTCGTCATAGATCCGCACCTTCCTGGAAGGGTCAGATACGAGTAGATCGCGAAGCTCCTCGTTGTAGAGTTCAATGAAGGATACCTTGACAGAGAAGTCGCTCTGTTGCTCAAGGCTCTTGAAGAGCGACACAAGCGTGCGGGGAATGATTCCTGCGTTCTCGCTAAGCACGTCGTGGGCCGTGGAAATGTCCCCAGACATGGTGTAGGTCTTTCCGGTCCCGGTCTGGCCGTACGCAAAAACCGTGCAGTTGTAGCCCTCAAGGGTTTCACGAAGAAGATTGGCTGCTATTCCATCGAATACCGTTTCCTGGTCGCTCTCAGCTCCAAACACGCGGTCGAACGTGTAGGTCTTGTTGCTGATGGCCATGGGTCCGGTTTGAAGCACCACCTCACGGCCTTTGTGGCCCATAGTGGAGACAACCACGCCGGAGGCCTCGCGCACCTCGCGTGCGTTTCGTGAACGGCAGCGGACATACACAGAGATGTTTGATTCTTCGGCTTTGGGCACAGGAGACGGCGAGGAGGATGAAATTTGTGGAGCAAACGATGCTCGATTGCTGAGGGAGTGGGGGTTGCCGAGGGAATTCCGGGGGTTGCCCTGCGAGAGCCGGTTCTTGGTGAGTGGTTTTCGATCGCTAAATGACATTTGAGAAAGGAATCTTGAATGAGAACACTGTTTCAATGGAGGGACACGCTCTAAGGGGAGGATAATGTCTAATGGGTGTGCTTTGGATAGGGCGGACTATGAAAAATGAAAAAGAGTTTCAACAGAACGTATAGCTTCGGACCTCTTCACTTAGGATGTTGTGGGATGCCGCTTGGTCTGTTACGGGATATCACTTGGTCTGGTACGGGGTATCGTGTGGGATTGTAATATCTGACGAATTGTGTCACTTAGCGAGAAGATAAAACACCAACGCTCTGTACTAAGCTTTGACAGATGTGATGAGGTTTAGTCTCGCTTGTGTTTGTGCGCGGCTTGTTTACTTTTTCCTCGCGTCGGAAGAGCTTCTAAGAACGGTTTTGGTGGAAAATGGATCGGAAAGCTGCGAAAACGTGACGCGCTGTGTTCCTTTCACAGAGTATATAAACTACCAACAAACTATGTGTCGTTAGATTCTTTTTATAAACCTTTGGATTTAGACTTGGGGATTGTGAGGTTGAGTTATGTATTATGTTTAGGACTATATATGCTGCACTCTGAGACATGCTAATAAACTAAGCATGGTGGGAGCCCCAAGCTTCTTTGCCCGTTTCGTATTAGCGTAACGGAAGTTTATAGAAATTTCAGCAATACCATCTGCCTTCTAAAGAACCTAGCTTACTCCGTCGTATAAAACAACCCAAGCTATGAAAGTGTGGCTGTGCTGCTGTGGCAAAACCCAACCAGGATCTCGTGGCTGGTGTACTTCGACGCGTCGCATCGTGCTCCACGCTCATAACCACAAGCTCCCTCTCCACCATCTCCAGCTACTCCACTATACCAAAATCATTGTTAGAAGACTGTAGCTTAAAAATCTGACTTACAACTAGTTTAATCCGATAGCTTTAGCCTCTATACTCGGCCTCTTTGTTCATCCAAGCACGCTGGTTTAGCGTGCGAGGGTTCCCCCCCGCCGTCGACACAGCGTCACGTGCCCGAAATCTCAATCGTTGACGTGGCGCGTCATATAAGACGGTGTATTTTTAGATCAACACCCTTTCTTCCTCCTCTCCATTCACCCCACGTATCATGCAATTTACGCTTTTATTCCTCGGGTTGGTTGCCTACGTGCACTGCTTCTACTTTTACGTTGACGGTGGCGACAAACAGTGTTTCAACAAATTCCTTGAGCACGGCGACGTTTTGGTCGGGAGATACGATGTTACCTTCTTGGACACCAACACAAACACCTACGGCAAGCTCAATTCCGAATCAGGACTCGTGATTGATGTGGAAGAGATCTTCGACAACGACCACAGAGTGGTGCATCAGAAGGGTACCGCGTCTGGTGAATTCACCTTCACCACCATCGACTCCGGCGAACACAGAATCTGCTTGTCGCCGCAATCCGGTGGCTGGTTGTCCAAGACAAAGTCCAAGATTGACATTAACTTCTCCATCGGTGAAACCAAGGACTTGGACTCTAAGGGAACCGAGAGAGCGCAGTCGTTGGCCGAAAGAATCACTCATTTGAACGGGATTTTGCACGACATCAGAAGAGAGCAGAACACGATCAGAGAGCGTGAGTCAATCTTCAGAGACTCGTCTGAGAACACCAACAACCGTGTCGTGGCCTGGTCGATTTTCCAGATCCTCGTCTTGGCAGGGACCTGTTTCTGGCAGCTCCAGCACTTGAGAAGCTTCTTCGTCAAGCAGAAGCTTGTGTAAATGCGAGGCGGCTCGAATGAAGGACCGGTAAAATACTTACGAAATCTATTAATAGATGGCTTATATTTTGACTAGAACTAGGATGTGAATACTGTAGGGGCTAGCCGAAGAAAGGCAAAGACTAGGGACTAGATAAGCAGCTTTACCCTTTCAGTAGGTTAACGATTGCATGATTTAGGAATGGAAGAAGTCAAATAAATGCAATATTGGGCTTGGTAGGGGTGAAAGAAAAGGCCGTGAAGCGACCAGTTGTGGTTACTAACCTGTTAAAAGGGAAACTGCCAGAATTATTTGGCTGGTACAGGCAGCCCACATTGTTGCTGATCAGCACAATCGACCTTAGAACTGTTGTCTCATTTTGCTATCTCCGCATTCGTGCAGGGTCCCTTATGCCGTACCAAACCATCCTGGTCTTGTCGTTTCTCCTAAACTATTAAGGAACCAACTTCCTCAATTCAATTTTTAATTTCTTCCAAGTTCTGCCTCAAAGATGTTGGCCGTGCCATTCCCGCGCCGTCCGTCACCACGACTACATCTGCGCCGAAAAATCCTGCGTCGTTTGCGCCGCACTCATTCAATTCATAACACTTCCTCTTCTCTCTCTCCCCTCCTTCTCTCTTCCCCCGCCCCCTTAATCCATGAATCTTGCATTGTTAGACCCCTTTGCGGTGGCCCAGGAATACCCGGAAACACTCACACAAACTCTCAGCCACGGTCATTCGGTCTGCATTGAGTACAACAACAAAGGTGTATACCTCGCGAGCGGCCTAGCCGACGGGTCGATTGTCATCTTCGACCAGGAGACCAGCGGGGTGGTGACGGTGCTCAAAGAGCACACCAGACCGATACAGTCGCTCTCGTGGTCTCTGTGCGGCCGGTACCTTCTTTCCTCATCGCGCGACTGGAAGGTGAACTTGTGGGACCTTGCCACAAAGACGGTTTTACACACGGTAAAGTTCGACGGTCCCGTTTGGGTTGGAAAACTCCATCCCAAAAACCATTTGCTCGCGGTGGCCGCGTTGTTTGAAGACAAACCCATGTACATCGACTTTACGCGGATCGAAGCAGACACGCCCTACACGACGGTGCTCGAGACGCTCCCGTTGCCGCTTCAGGATGAGGATTCGGATGAGGGTTCGCGGAAGAAGCAAAAGACAGAAAAGCACATGACCCTCGTGGCGTGTTTCCATCCATCGGGGGAGTTTGTCTTCACGGGCACGTCCAAGGGCTGGCTCAACGTGTTTTCCACGCGCACGCTCGCGATGGTTTATTCGATAAAAGTGGCAAACTCGAATATTAAGCACATTATGGTGTCGACTCTGGGCAAAAAGATCGGGGTGAACTGTTCGGACAGGGTTATTCGGCAGTACCAGGTGCGATTGGCCCTATTGCAACAGCTAGACAACGGGAGCGAAAATGGTAAACATGAGGATGAAAGTGACTCCGACTCTGAACCATTGGAGCTTGACCATAAGTTCCAGGACGTGGTGAACAAGCTCCAGTGGAATGCAGTTTCGTTCAACTTCAATGCGGAGTACGTTATCGCTTCAACGTACGGTTCGGCCGCGCACGATGTGTACATGTGGGAAACGTCGATGGGCTCGTTGGTAAAGATCCTCGAGGGACCAAAGGAGGAATTGGTGGATGTTGCATGGAACTACAACAAGTGCGCGATTTCTGCCACTGGGATCGATAGTGGCACCATCTACGTGTGGTCGATTGTGATTCCGCAGAAGTGGTCGGCGTTGGCGCCTGATTTCGTCGAGATTGAGGAGAATATTGAGTACGAGGAGAGCGAGGACGAGTTTGACATTGTTCCAGACGAAGAAATCAACCAGCGGTTGTTAAACGAGGAGGACGAGGAGGTGGATATATTGACCCGTGAGACCGTGGATGCCCGGGGTTTTAGCATGGCTGAGACGTTTGTCATTCCGGTAGACTACGAGGTGGATTATGGGGTCGGTGCTAGCGATGATTACTAAAAAAAAAAAGAAAGTATCGCCAATGAAGGCAGCGTATTAACGAGCCAGCTGGTGTAAGGACATTATTTGAAGGTCCCTTGTACTGATGAATAATAGAACTTAAAACGTGTAGCATTGAATTGAAGGTTGTTGATTGGCAGACACATCCATCTATACCGTTTACGATCTAGCACTACTACCATGGTCCTTGAACTAAGGATTTTATAATCCCGCTTAATTTAATGGCAGCCATTGGCCAGTACACCGTCAGCATACCAATGCATCTGCATATTCGCGAATTGCCGATTTTACGAATTTCTCATCCTCTCCCCCAAGCGATCGTCTACACCAAATATCAGCGGATCGAAAACGTCCCACTTTAGCGTCTCTCGTTCTTTATCCAGCACACTATGTCCCTCGACTCTGTCCTCCTCATTGGCGGTGCCGGTTTTCTCGGTCTCCACTTGATCCAGCAGTTCTGGGAGGTCTCGCCGAGACCCCAAATTCACGTGTTTGACGTCCGCCCGTTGCCAGAGACGCTCGCCACGTACTTCACCTTTGACCGCGATGCGATCGTGTTCCACCAGGGCGACCTTACATCTGAGACTGACGTCAAGGAGGCCATTCGTACGCTGGGCGTGAGCGTCATCGTCCACTCTGCATCACCGATGCACGGGTTGGCGCAGGAGGTCTACGAGAAGGTCAACATCCACGGGACAAGAAACCTCCTCAAGTGTGCGAAGGCGATGAAGGTCAAAGCGGTGGTCTATACCTCTTCCGCCGGTGTCATTTTCAACGGTCAGGACATCCACAACGCAGACGAGTCGTGGCCTATCCCTGCGGTGGCCATGGACGGGTACAACGAAACCAAGGCCATTGCCGAAGAGATGGTCTTGAAGGCAAACTCTTTCGAGGATGATTTCTTGACCGTCGCCTTGAGACCAGCGGGTATCTTTGGTCCGGGTGACAGACAATTGGTGCCGGGGTTGAGAGCCGTGGCGAGGCTCGGCCAGAGCAAGTTCCAGATCGGGGACAACAACAACTTGTTCGACTGGACCTACGCCGGGAACGTCGCGGATGCGCACGTTTTGGCGGCTCAGAAGTTGTTGCAGCCAGACTTAGTCTCCCAGATTGGCGGTGAAGCGTTTTTCGTCACCAACGATGCGCCAACCTACTTCTGGACCCTCGCGCGTACCGTCTGGAAGGCCGACGGGCATATCCAGAAGCGTAATATCGTGTTAAACCGTCCTGTGGCCATTGTTGCGGGCCATTTATCCGTCTTTTTCTCCAAGCTTTTGGGAAAGGAGCCGGGCTTGACCCCGTTCAGAGTCAAGATAGTGTGTGCGTCCAGATACCACAACATTGCCAAGGCAAAGCGCGTGCTCGGGTACACTCCAAACGTGGGCTTGCAGGAGGGGATCCAGTTTACTCTCGACTGGATGAATGAAACGGAGCAGTAGGGAACGCTTTGCGTTACCAGATAAATGGCGTGTTAGGTAAAACCTGTATATTAAAGGCTTTCGAAATTTGTGCCAGGGCAGCATTCCGGGGGTTAGTAGACAGCACGAAGAAGAATGGTATAGTGGATAGAGAACCTTTACTGAGGAAAAAACTTGACTATAGAGCACCAGAAAGAGGATTGATGCGCTCTGTAGTCCAGGGCGATTCTACGATTTTTATGTTCGAAATTCATAATTTTTAGTAGGGGCATTCAAAATAGGAAAAGCGGTGCCATTTATTGTGTGAAAATACTATACGCAATCACAGAGATGCTTATCGCCATAAGATACCTTGTGATGAATTCCTTGCCAGCCTTGGATTCATCACTCGAGAAGACAGTAGCGTTAGTAGTGTTACTTGTATTGAAAACGGTTCCAAGAGAAATCTTTTCCTTCAAACCTTCTTCCTCTAAACCCTCTTCCTTGGCAGGCCTCTTGACCTTTTCAATTATGGCATCTACAACCTTTGAATCGGAATCGACCCACTCAGACTTGGCGGTTCCCTTACCCGTCTTTCGGATATTGGACTTGACCCTCACGGAACTCCCACTATTCTCCAGTTTCATAGCCTTGGACTTGGACTTCGACTTCGACTTGAAGTTGTAGTATTCGTCTTCGTCCTCGATTGAAACCTCTCCCTTACTCTTAACCCGAGATACCTTTGCCTGGCCGTTATCATCCTTCTTAAACGGCAACCCACACGCATTTATATCGTTCAAGCTTTCACAGTCTTGGTAGAGCACCGCTAAAAAGCTCCCGTTTGGGGATCCAGGGCACAAACCAAAGCATTCTTGCTTCATACTCTGGAGTGCACAGCATTCACAAGCGAGATCGTCCGGCTTGCAGTCATCGAGCTTGCTTAGCACCTCGTTGGCACACGCCGACAATTTAACCAAGTCCTCTCCGTCCTATTGAGTCAGTACACTGGTTGGAACCCGACGGGAAAATTTACTTACACATCTCTCGTAGGACCGAGGGTTAGGGTTGACATACGAGCCAAATTCCGACTCAAACGTCTGGTACTCACCAGCTAGAACTGCCGCTGTGTGTAACAAAACAGGCCACAAAACTTTCTGCCACATATCGATGGAAATGCCGTGAATAAGCCAAATTGAGATTTAGAAGCTTAACACTCTTTTAACTCTGTTCAGGGCCTTATAAGAACTGGAAGAGCCTCACCTTATACGAGCATGTTGCCACAAAAGCAGTCTTGGACAACCTAGCAGCATGCATATGTGCATGCACGTTTCCAAGGCAGCTTTATCTATCGATTCTAATCAATATTGGCATCATCAAGAACAGAAGCGTATATCTTACAGCGCTCAGCTTTTAAACAAAAATTGTATAAATATGTATCATAAGGCCATAAAAGTCTCATCGGAGTCTCTGATATCCATGAAAGTCTATCCCTTGCAAATAAGACAAGAGAATTCGCACTCACCAAGGCTTGCCAAGCAATCCGAGTGGTACCCGTGATGGCACTTAAATACAACCAACACACAGCTGTGAAACTTCTGTGGATCATACAGCCCTTGACCGTAGCTGGACTCTCCGTTCAGCATCAAATGGATCTTGTTCAAGGTTTTGTCTTCCCAGGCAATGAGATTCTCGTTGGAGGTTCCCTTGCCCCAGATCGGTTTGCCACAGGCGGCACAATTCTTCTCAACCAACCAGCCCTTCACCTTCTCGATATCCAAGAGGCGCATATCCTTATAGATATGATCGTTCAAGGACTTTAGGGTGAGGTTCAACATCTCCCGCTCAAAAGAGTACGCAAGCGAGACTTCCAGCAACACCGCTCGGACATCCCCCAAGGTGGTGGCCTGGGAAGAGGCGCTGCCCAAGAATTCCGAGAAAATGTGCAAAAACGATGCTTTGCCCTCATCAAGGGTCTCAAGCTGGGACTTACAGTCAATCAAGCTGCGGAAAACAGTCTCTACGAGTCCCTTGGTGAGGGCCGTCCAAGCCGGAGTGACGTCCTCGTTCACTGGAAGGAGGTTGACCACGATCCTGATCAATGCAAGCCACATCTCCTCGTCCTGGGCCCCAGCCTCCACACATAACTGAATCCCAAGGCGGAGATTGCCTCTCGCCTCGTTTTCCAACAGCGGCCAGTCGTCTGCCGGTTTAAGGGTCTCGAAATAGCCTGTGATTTCCTCAAACGCCTTTTCCGTTTGCTTGTGCTTTCTCAACAACGTCACAACCGAGTCCATACACCGGTGGGCCTTCAAGGTTTTCAAAACCACGTTCAAGTCCACATCACCATCCTCCATACTTGCCACAAAGCTATGCACCCTCGGCCGTTCGTACACACAGAGACCCTTGATATACGCCTCTCTCTCTTTGGCGGTGATCTTTCCATGTAGCTTTCCCTTGCGCAGAAGCAGGAACATGGATCTGAGATACAAAAACTGCTGGTCTTCAGTCAACAGGAAAAGCGAGTGGTGTAGGTTTGGATCAAAGGTATCAAAAACCTTCACCATGACATCTACTGGCATCGGAAGCTGGGCAAACGAGTTACGGATGATTTCTTCCACCCTGCTTCGCTCGCGTGCCTGGTTCACCGTCTTGGAGAGACAGAGCTCGACGATCGCCGGGGTTTCGTATGCGTCTCTAAGCGGACCATCCTCACTCGCAAGATACAACTCAAGAAGACTGGCGTAGTTACCCTCGGCTCTGTACACGTCAAATAGCACGTTGGTAAAGCCGGCCGTCTCAAAATAGGCTACCAAACTGGTCAAGTGTGGAGGAGAGTACACAGATAGCAACGACTGCAAGCCCAACTCACAGTCGCTCTTCATCGACTCGTCTGGATAGGCACACAATTTCTCCACCATCTCCTCCAAAACCGAGTCGGCAATACGGATGAACTGAGGGAACTTGGAGTAGTTGCGCGTGATAAAGATGGCAAAGTATACCTGCGCCTGTACACCAAAGTTGTTGGCACCAAACACGTCGAGAAGGATGTCCACGATATACTGGCGGGTCATCTTGGTTTCATACAGTTGGTACCGATGCAGCGCCTCCTCCTCGTCATCGAGTACGGAGTCCTCAAAGGCCTCGTTGAGGGCGGCAAGAAAGTCAGCACAGTTGAAGCTGAGAAATAAGCAGAGGTAGGGATACGCCGGCTCGCTGTAGTAGTCGTCCAGGATGTGCACCTTGGCCCCGCCAGGCGGCCAGATACAGGGAATGCCGCTGAACAAGACGTAGTAGATATTGAGCTTAGCCTGGAGTGCGTGGATGTACACGATCGGCTTCTCGGTGGGGTACTGCCTTCCCGTGAGCACGAAAGAAATGTAACTGAACACTTTGTTGCAATCGGGGTGGGTAGAAAGGAGTTTTTGTTCGTGGGCTTTCAATTCTGTGGTAAAGTCAGAAACGGAAGTCAAACTGCCGTTCAAATGTGTTCCATTTTTGAGCGAAGTCCCGTTGAAGGTTGTGAGGGCTGTACCATTCAGTTTAGGTCTTTCAACCTCTAAAGTTCCATTCCCCCCGACCACTTCATTCTCCCCACCCATTCCATTCTCCCCGTACCCTGTACCCTCTCTCTTCACATCCTCGATAAACTCTATCAACGGGGTGATATAGTCGCAGAGGGAGACGTTCCAAATATAAACCAAGGTGTCCCTGAGTCTGTGCTTGCGGCATAATTGAACGGTCAGATCGATATCAAGGGCCTCAATGTCCAAAAAGCAGATGATCTCCTCCAATACCTCGCCCTTTCCCTGCTCGATATACACCTCCACCATGCGCTGGAGGATCGTGGGGGACAACGCAACAATCTCAGATGAATAGGCGAACCACTCTAGCACGTCAAAAAAGATCTCTTCCGCGCCATTCGCGGTGGCCACCTCAAACAAGTGGTCGTAAACGTCTGTAGAAACCTCAATCGTGACACAGGCCCTGAAACATGCCCTGAGCAAGTCATAGATATGGTCGGACTCCGACCCAAACGTCACCTCGATGGAAGCGTTCATGATCTCGATCAAGTACTCGCGGACAATGGAGCGGCGTTCAGTGCCGTCTTCAGGTAAGCCTGCAAACGTGTCGCCTTTTCCCATGTAGTATACCCGTGCCTGCTCTAACGCCGCGATGTGGTCCCCCCCTACGACCATCGCCATAAGCCGGTCTGTCCAGGTGGTCATAACGCCCACAAACATCTCGCGCTTTCCTAGGAGCAAGAACTTGCCCTTGCTGATTCTGAAGGACGACGGGTAGGGAGACCGCTGGATGTGCATCGAAAGGAGATCCGTCCTATAAAGATCGCTTTCCAGCACGTTTAGCGCATGGGTCGTTTCATCCACGTCAATCAAAAGCATCTGCTGGGTGACGGTCACGGCCGCGACAAGCCGATGGTTGATCCATTGCACCTCGGAGATCGCTTCCAGTGAGACATAGCGCTTGATCTTGGTGAACGTAAGCACCGTCTTGGGATCTTTGTCCCTGGACCTAGGGGTTTCAACAGAGGGTTCGAGCTTCACCACCGTGAGCACGTTCGACCAGCAGTAGACGAGTTTGACGCAACTTCTGGCACCCGGGAGCGTGATCGCGGGGTACCACGCTAGACAGCCGGTAGAGCCGGTGGCTTCATTGCAAGCCCTGGGTTTTCCCATCTTGTAGTGAGTCGTCACATCCGCTGCCTTGGGATCGGGACTGTGGAGTGACACAATGGCCAAGACATTGTGCGACATCACAGCCGTGAGTCCCATTTCGTCTGTCGGCTCGAGCGCTGTACCAAGCGGAAGCACCAGACAGGCTAGGATGGACTTTGGGGGGTTGGGTATGGTTTTTGGCGCATCATAGATGCCTAAGATCTTGCGGGTGGAGAAGCGGAGACCTAGCATTCCCCTGCTCCCGCTATGGCTAAAAACCAAGCCAGATGTGTCTGCCAGCACCAAGAATGTGTGTCGGTTGGCCACAAACCCGAGCTGGGTCACGGGAATACCGGCCAAATGGCCATTGCGCGCGCTCTGGCGCTCGAAAGCCGTAATGGGAGCTATATGGACAACCGGGGAACCAAGTTTCAGCAACTTCCAAACCACCACGTCACCGCGTGCGGTCCCTGCGGCCACGTGGGTCGAGTCGGACAGCACCGCGAGACTCGTAATGGATCCGCAACCCCGCATCTCCGTCATGCTGCCCCCGATGATCTCCTTCACTTGCTGGGAGTAGTTGAAAACAACGATAAAGCCTTTGGCGGTGCCCACACAAAGGACCGTGGGCGACGGCTGAATAAGGGCTGGCTCGCCGTACTGCAAGCGGAAGCTCTCTGAGTAGAGGAGCTGGGATATCTCGGCAAGCTTCAGCCAACGGAGGAGGTCCAGCGTGGGTGGGGGGGATGTGGGGAGTGCGGGTGTTTGAATGGGGACGCTCTGGTGGCGGTTTCGTGTGAGTCGGGTAGTGAGCCGTTCATCGAAGGGTCGCGGGGAGGAGACGATCAGGGAGGAGGTGATCAGGGAGGTCATCGTGCAATGGAAGTGGTAATGTCAATTTCAACGGCAATGCAATAATAAATGGAGGGTTGTACCAATAGATGTGAAAATGGCAATCTAGTTCAGCGAAATGTAGGTATGGTCTGTAGCAAATGTAGGTCGGTCCGTAGAAAGTTGGAGCAGGCCAGTATGGTAAAGAAAGGTATGACGTAAGGATATGACAGTATTGGCAAATATAGACCTCTATCGACCAGTATGGAGAGTATAGGCCAGTGGTTGCCTCAAGTGTGACAATTTTGCATCTAACGGCGATAAGCTTCTTTTGCTCGGCGTGTGATCTTGGCACCAGCCCCGTTTCCCGATCGGGCTGCGTGGCTTGCACCGCCACATATGGTTACGCATTGAACGGTGGAGCTGTTTTGAGGGCACATACAAGATGTACTTGGAGAAGAAAGGTGTTGAAAAAATCGCCATAAAACGAAAATACGCCGCTCCAGGCGGTCTGTATATATGCATTAAGTATGTTGTCATTATTGTGCGATATGGAAAGCACTGACAGAAACCTTTAAATTTCGAGTTCCTGGATACGATATCCCACCGGCTTCCCTCAAAACATGTATGCATGTGTACCAATCATACCTGGGAAACCTCCCAGCACCTGATATCACCTAGATCTAGTGTAAAGTAGCAGTATCAAGGGAAAATTAACCACCACATAAAAAGAACGAGATGCTAGCCTCATCATTTTTAGGTCTAGACTACATATTCCTCCAGTCTTCCTTCGACTTTTCCACCCACATGCACGTCCCCTGGCACCATTCGATAAGCCACCCCCGACTTTTTTTTTTTTTTACGAAAATATTCATTATACGATATCAATCATTTCAATGCACAGACAATAACAACGGGTACATATCTTACCAACAAAACCCAGTACAATACCATTATCGTCGTCTATCCTCGCCAGTGCCAGTTTCTTTTTTAGTCGTGCGCCACCCACCCTCTCGCCTTATGTTTATGTTTGTGTTTATCCCATCTTGCCCTACCCCATACCTTTACCATCATCCTCATGTCGACTCCCATGCCTAAACGGCCGTCAGTACGTATTATAGCTTCACCCTCATGAGCTATACTAACATTATGCTTCTAGATGCACACCATTGAGTCCAGCGTGACCCGGCTCTTGGTCTCGACGAAACACCTCCTCGGCAGTCTCACGCTGTGGGCGCAAGCAAAGGCGCTGGAGGGCGACGTCTCGGACGCATATGTGCAGCTCGGCAACGAGTTCAAAATCGCATGCAAGGCGTTTACCAACGCCGGGGTAGATGTCTCAGACCTTGGTGACGTTCCCCAATCGCTTCGTGTGGTCCTAGAGGAGGCGTTGTGCGAGCCGCCATCGCAACAGAGCCTCGACCTGTTTTTGCCAGTGATCCGTGAAATCATCATCACGCTATTAAAGAATCTCAAGAAGAAGCAGGAGGATGTGCGCACGATGAGCGCACGGAGATCCGTTTCCGGCCCCCCAGACATGCCTATCCACGCTCGCTCCAGTTCCACCACCAGCAACCAGTCCAATGTAATTTTTACTGATCCAAGTGCCCTGCGGATGCCACCGCTGGTCTCGGACGACGAAACCTCCACGCGTGACGCGTTGGAAAAGCTCCAGAACGGTGACACGCTCCAACGGCGAGCGTCCAAGCGGTTCTCCGCGTACCAGTACGCAAAGCTCACCAACTATTCTCCCGTAAATGACCCCCTGTTGCCCAAGAAGATGGAAAAGAAGTTCAGCGCCTTGCCTGAGGTCCCGGAAGAGTCGCCGCGCAGGCCGGCATCGCCAGGAAACGCCACCATCTTTATGAAGGTTCAGCACCGCACCAAGAAAGTGAATGTCCATCTTCCGGTGACGCTAGCGTCGCTCCGATTGACGTTTGTGGAGAAGTTTGCGTATTCCCCGGGGTCAGAGCTGTTTCCCGACATCTACATCCAGGACGCGTCGGGGGTTTCATACGAGCTCGAGGAGCTGGCATTGGACAGCGTGGTGGACGGCACGTTGGTGCTGCTCAACGAGCCCGACGCAGGCGCAGCCATCGCACGCAGTGTGGAGACGCAGTTCGCTGCGCTTAAGGCGGAAGTCGCTCAGGCCAACGCAGCGCTCCTCCAGGAGATTAAATCGGCAGTAGAAGAGGTTAGGACACAAAGAGAGACTAACGAAAGACAAGCTGCGGATATAGATGCGAAGCCTTTGGCGTCGGCCTTGGCTCCAGCTTCGCTTAAGGACCTCCGCGCGATCGGGGATATTCGCCGCGAATTGGCCGTTTTACGACAGCTCAACACCACCAACAAAGATATCGTGAAGCAGGCTATCACTGGTATTCTAACCCGCCTCCAGACGTTCCAGGCGGCGGCAACGACGTCGAAATCGTCCGGCAGAACGTACATGGAGGGTTGCCACGCGAAGCTCTCACAAGACTCGGACGAGTTGTTGACCAAGGTGGACGACTTGCAGGATGTCATTGAGGCGTTGCGCAAGGATGTAGTGGCGCGCGGGGTGCGGCCGTCGGACAAGCAGCTCGCGCTGGTGGCGAAGGAGATGGCCGGGGCCAACGCGGACTTGTCGCTGATGGGAGCGTATATTCTGAAGGAAAAGGCCCGCTGGAAGCAGATCTGGGAGGCGGAGTTGGATACCGTTTGTGAGGAGCAGCAGTTCTTTGCGTTGCAAGAGGACTTGATGCATGACTTGGTCGAGGATTTAGCCAAGGCGTTGGAGACGTTTAACTTAGTCGAGCAGTGCTCGGATGAGCAGAACAAGAACCCACGCATCCGATCAGTGGCCAACCATTTGCCGGTCCCCGAACCGGGAAGCATGAATCTCAGACGCGACGCGTTGTTGTCTGAGGTGGCAGCGTTGACTCCGAACCACGAGAGCAGGATCGAGGCAATCGAGCGCGCGGAGCGGATGCGCCAGCGCGACTTGGAGTTGCGCGCGGTGGACAAGTTCGAAGAAGAACTTGGCGGGTTTGTGGAGAACAACATGTTGAAGAAGTCGGGGGGGATCGAGGAGATTGAGCGGTTACGGCGGTTGAAGGATGAGGAAAATTTGAGGAATATGGGGCAGCCGTTCTAAAAACTGCCATCGGAGAGCCTACCTGGAAATAGTTGGTCGTCCTTTGGATGGCTGTCGGTGATAGTACTCTGGGGATGTTCTTCTCCGAATGAGTTTTTGTTGGCGATTAAGCTAGCCTGGTGCATGAGTATTGCACGGGAATCCTCCAATGCTAAGTAGCTTTCTGAAAGCAGTTTTTTTTGTGAATATTCCTACGATCTAGCACAAGTGTTGAAAGCCCTTTAGGTTGGTTAATTATGACTTGACCGGAAACTCTCCAAAATGTTCATGATAACGGCAGCTTTAGAATGATGAACCTCGGTTAACGAAAACTCTGACATGTCTGGAGACTTTTCCGAATGTAACACATCGCTGACCCTGAATCCTCTATACCGCTTTCATAGTGCAGGCCTCTCAGGATGAAACTATACTAGAGAGTTTCCCTATATTCGTGTTTGTCTTTTAACCCTTGAGGATTCCTGAAATTAAATTCTAATCTGCGACTTGATCCTATATGAATTATTTACCACGAGTGTCCCTGTGCCTAAATATAGACCATGTAGAAAGTTGTGAATGGTGAGAGGAGTCTCTCCGATAAAGGAGCCAGGGGCATTAAGAGTTGATACTATGCCTCATCTACATCAATGGTAGCCCAGAACCTGCTACGATTGGGCCAGCCTAGCAATAACCACGCTAGACTTCTACCATTGAAATGTTCCTACACTCATAAACATGTGGTATCTCTGATCCCAGACGCATCGCACTCTTTTCTACTCCACTACAGACATGTATCTTTTCCTTTAACTGCTAGAATCGATTTATCAGATAAATTTGCAAAATCTACTTGATAATCTGAAGGGGTTTAAGGGGGGGTTGGATGTTAATGAGTGTAGTACAGCTCGTCACGGAACTTCCAGGACTTACCTTCATATGACGCATAGCATGCAAACAAGTTGCTCAACCCGTTCTTGTGCTGAGGAACAAAGTCCGTCATGTTGACGCCCGGGTAGGCTTTCCTGATGACCGGCGCCATTACCTCACCCGTGGAGGAAATTAACTTGTACTGCAACTCGCCAAGGCTGTTCACAACCGTCTTGTCCTCGACCAAAAGCGACTTGGCAGTGAGGGCAACCTTGGACTGGCACTCGTCAGAGAGGAACGGCGGGTCGATCAATAATCTGTGCACCTTGCCCTTCAAATCATGCCTGTAGGCGAACGGCTCGACGTAGTCGTAGAACCCAAAGTGCTCTTTCCCAGCCAACAACTCGAATCTCTTGTCATACTCGAACAAATAGATGTGTTTGGTTGGGAGGACCACGTCGCGCTGCTTGATAGCTGAGTAGACCGATGGGGCACTGACGATACAGATGACAGTGTCAGCATCAGCACCATCCAATAGTTCGTCTGCCAAAAGGTTGGCCGTGTCTTCGGCGTACCAGAACTGTGATAAGTTCCAGTCTTCCTTGAATGTGTCGATGCTTAAAATGCTCTTGTCTTCCACCACATCGGTGGCCACCACCTCCTGGAGCTTGGCGAGCTGTGCGATTCTCTCCTCTTCCTCTTCCTTGAACTGCAAGAGGGCCTGTAAGGCGTATGGGGATAAGGTGCTATATGTTAGGGCGGGCCTTTATTTCTCAGTTGAAGCTGAGTCTAGATGGGGGCGAAAGATTGAGAGACATACATTGGTTCGTCGTCGGTATCAGACATGATATGTGCACGGGAAGGAAGGTCTGTGTGGGAAGAAGGGTCTGTGTGACCGGAAGAGAGATGCATGTTAGGCTTAACTTGTTTTGAGCCCTCTATGCAAAATTTTCGAGCTGCCAGAATTTTTCACCTAATCTGACCCATACTTTTTCTTATAGAATCTACTAATATTGCATGCTGCATGCAAATAGCTGTGATCACGTGCAGGGACTCGTAGCTAGATAGGGTTTAGAGACGGGGATTAAAACAGCTATTTCAAGTTTATTGGGGATTTTAAATCTGTTTCATGATCACCTGGAAATGGTATGGAGCAGGATTTTTAGATATTACGTGAGGTGTGAGCGTTTTTGTCTTGCCAATTGTCCGGCGACGTCATCGGTTTCACAAGAAAAAATCCAACCGGTTTGTTTGTTCGTACCTTTTTGAAGGGAGTGAATTTTTCCATCACTCTAAAAAAATAAAAATAAAAATAAAAAATAAAATAAAAAAAACTTCCTTTGTCAACCTTTCTCATTCAATTGAAGACCTAAATTATAGCGGTTTGGCTACTGGTTAGCCACGGGCTGATGGAAATGGCAAACAGCGCTTTATCTCTGACACGTGACAATCCCGTTCAAGGGTTGTGTCGTTTTCTTGGCCCAGTCGGGAGGGGGATTTTTGTATGCTTAACATAGTGCGGTGAGAGAGATACAACCGGAGTGCTCAAGACAAAGTGATACTTAGTACTAACTGTAAACTGTGGTATCTAGAAGATTATATGTGGTCTTATCTATAACGAGTATCCACGCAGTTTGAACTCCGATTAGGAAGCTGATCTTAAGAGCTAGCGTTGAATCTAGCTGTAAATGTCACTCGCATGACTGCTTCATAGCCCTGGCTTAAACACAGATATGTTTAAAGCTTGGTTCCTCCGATACTCAATGGTATGAGGGTGTGAAATATAAAAATGCGCCAGCCCGGAATCGAACCGGGGGCCCAACGATGGCAACGTTGGATTTTACCACTAAACCACTGGCGCTGGTAATTGTACTATAGCTAAGTCTGAACGATCAAACCACATTAAAGTACTGATTTTACAAGATGTTTGTATTTTCCACAGTCTGTAGATTGCCATATCAAGACCTTTTTTCGATAATGTCTTATTTACGATTGAAATAGTCGGTAGATTAGAAATCATTGATAACTTTGAAATCGTTAATGGCTTCGAGTTCAAGGTACAAGTACGCACAATAACAGATCCACAGCAACATGTATGCGCCATAATACGCGAATCAAGGTCAGCAGCAGACCGGCCGCACAGTGCTTAGGGCCTGTGAAACTGCCCTTAAACCTTTTGATCCGCCTTCTCCGTGTGCTCCAACTCAACCTTGACGGTCTCGCCTATAAAGTCACCAGCAACCGCATGGTATACCGCCACATCGGCCGCTCTTTGGGCAGCCTGCACATCTTCCCCGAAGATGACCGCAATCTCTTCCAACCCCTTGCCCTTGGTTTCTGGGAAGTAGAAATAGACGATCCAGAACTGGATAAAAAGCCAGCATGACCAGACAATGTAGTATCTCCACTGGATAGCATCCATGGCAATGTTGTTGACGTAGCCATTAAACAACAACGTGATACCCGCGGCTAATTGGTATAACGTAATACCCTTCGCCCTCATGGAGTATGGGTTGATCTCCAAAATATAGGTAACAGAAATAATGGAGCAAATGTGGTAAGCAATGTTGAACAAGTAGATCATCACAATCACGCCAACCGCTAAACTCTTGTCCTTGAAGTGACGCTGCTCATTGATAGCCGAAAGAATCGTTAAAATGCTGTAGACCCCACACAAACAGCCATAACTGGTTAAAATCAACCTCCGTCTACCAGCCTTCTCCACGGTGGACGCAAAAAAGATACCAGCAACCAAGCCAATGATGGTGTAGCCCATGTTTATCTTCAACTGCTCGTTACTGTCAGTGATACCGATGTTGTTCAAGAGGATAGTCATGTAGTACGAGATTAAAGCGTTACCACACAACTGTTGCATCGCCGAAAACCCCAACGAAAGAGCCAACCGCTTTCTGTTTGCGGCAGTTCTGAGCCACTCCATCCACGAGCTTCTGTTTTGGCTCTTTTCAAGCTCCAAGGTAGCGATAATCTCTGCCATCTCGAACTTGACCAACGGAGAGCTTGCGTCGCCGTTGCCGTGGTGCTTGGTCAAGAGCGCCAACGCCTTCCCGTGCTTCCCCTTGTTGATCAACCACCGTGGAGACTCTGGCCCACACATCACAATAATGGCAGAGACCAAAGGAAAGAAGCACTGACACAAACTAGGAATCTGCCACGACCAGTTGCTCTCTCTCATGGTCATGTTCGGCCCCCAGGTCACAAGCGCCGCTGTGAAAGCACCGAAGGGGAAGGAAGCCAGACAGATGGAGGTGATAATGGCTCTGTGAGTTGGGTAGGCCGCTTCGGTAAGCAAGCTTGGCGCCGCAGCCGAGGCGATACTACCGCCAAATCCCACCAAAATACGACCCGCAAAGAACATTCCAAAGTCCTTTGCAAACCCTTGGACGATAGCCCCAGTAATAATAACGCTGCTTCCGACTAAAACACCCATCTTCCTACCAAACCGGTCTAAGATGAATGAAATGAATGGGAAGGAGAGCAAGTAGCCGAAGTTGGTGCCGTTGTTCATTGTTGACAAGATGGACCCCTTTGGGTGGTTAAAGTGTTGCTGCCACGATGGCAAAGACTGCAACCCGTTCATCATTGACCCGTCGTAGCCCTGGGTCACTTGGCAGAGCACACTACCCAAGAGCAAGAGGTTCAACCTCACCAAGAACCAGGTCCTCCACCATGGTTTCTCAAGTTTCGGAACCATGTCCATCAACCCCAACTCGTGGCCCTCCTGGCCATCTATTTGAAGGATACTCTCCATGGATTTTACGTCTGAATTGACCGAGACCTGGCTCGTATTGTTTGGGTACCCAAAACTCATATTTCTGGGTTCGTGTTTTTATAGCTGAGGATTGGTACAACGGAGTGCGACGGGATGGATTTATATTTCGATCCGAGTTGGCATCCATCTAGCCACAAATTACAGCGATCTTTAACTGTGGAGTATATGAATCCCATCCATGTTAATTATTAGTACCTACGTGTGCCGTGACCTCTACCCTAATCTATTATCATGTACAGCCGGTCAACCTTACTGAGCAGCTGTATAATTATTGTTTTTGGCTAGCAATCCCCGCCTGCATTGGAGCGTGCCGGCCAAACGGAAATATCCGAAGTGACAGGCCGAGAGTATCTGGATGACAAAGCATTGGTGTGGTTCCTGGGAGGCAGTGCTAGTTTCTGGGACCAGACCAGAGATGGACATACGGCTGACAAACGTAGGGTGCGTCGGAGTTCGCCGACTATTGCACACCGAGTGCCTATTTCAGAAAGTCTGTCCAAGAACCTCTTCTGCATCACTAATCGATAGATATTGATAACCAAGGTTCTAGATCGATTATAAGGGCGCTTCCAGTTTCAATCCCGCGGAACCAGGGACTTGAACTGGTTCCTCCTCTCCTGGTGTCTCCAGGGTTCTGATCTGATTATGCAAGACTAAGGGTGCATCATGCCTGCTATGTGAGTTACGCTCATAACCTAGCATATTGCCCGGGTCCTTTATTCCTAAAATGTTGCCATTTTCTAACAGAGACTTTCACGAATGTTTGTTCAGTAGAACTGCTGATCTATATGGCTTGTTGACAATTCATGACGGTGTCTATAGTTGCGATGCGGGGTACTGGTCTCGCAAAGGAGTCAGGTGAAGCCTCTTGGCATAAGATTGTTTCTTATTTGTCTAAAACAAGTAATGACCTATTGGAAAGTAAACTTAACTGTTTCCGGTATATTATCTCGGTTATATTCCTCCGTTGCTTGAACCTTCGTTTCCGCGGTACAACTTGAGGGTAAGTAGCTTGTTAGGTAATATGATCCACAAAAACGAGTGGGATTAATACAAAGAGCAGGGTAGCCTCGCTGTCTAAGCCAAGAAACTTTGCCCAGGCCTTGGTGAGAGTTTCTGCTGCCGTACCCCTCGTCTTTCACTGGCCCAAGGTTCACCCCACATGATAATAAAGAAAACCCTTACGTACATGGGGGCATAGCTAGATAATCGGCATCTGTCCTCACCAAGCGAAGGAGTACCAGTAGCTCCTAAATTCCTAGCAAAAATTCATGTTTTTATTTGTTGGGTTATGTTCTGGGTAACTTAAGGTGGTTTTTTGCTCAGTAGATAATCCCTTGATCGTCAGTAAATGGCCGTACACAGGCGCCTGTAGCTTAAGACGGTCGAAAGGCTTGGCTTGAGTCTTTAGCCTTGGCGTTTGTCTCTGCGAGTGTTATAACCCCGATCTTTATCCTCAAAATTTCCAAAGTATCGGTCAACAGGGATTCGTATAGTTGCGATGACTGAAATTGACTTCACAGAAAACCTTAGTATCGCGTCCGGTACGTGTTTGATGGTAGTACATATTCCCGTTAAAAACGGTGGTGCGGAAGTAGCCGAGAGAAGCAAACTTTGAGATTCACTGAATTCCTTGATGGGAAGAGCAATACACAAGTAAATGGTTATAGCTTTAGAGAGGCTTTCAGTTACTTTTTTGAATTTGATGTAGGAGGATGGCAAAGGAAACGTGGATGAGAAGGATATAGGCCATGTTTTTGGAACTTATAATTCTATGTTTATACATATTTGAGCATAATTATAGTCCCATATGCAAATTACATCCGGCGCGGGTGTCAGCCCTACGTTGATGAACACGTGAATGGCGATTACAAAAATAAATAAAAAATGAGTCACTAAACCATTCAAACCATTAAACCCTCTATAAATTAATTTGAAGCTGAACTGAATTAACCTCACCTATTTAGCTATACCAAACTGCCTCCGACACATCACTCATAACCATCACGTGTGGTATCCACAACAATTCCCACGTTCGATTCCCGGCGCGCGCATTTAATTGCACAAATTTCTCCAACCTGAACTGAATCGCAGCTTCACGCAGCTTCTCACATTACGGCAATATGAGTTTTACGTGCTCTCCCGATGTGTTGATCGAACACATCTTTGAAGAGTTGGCATTTGACTCCGCGCAAGGTATGTACTGCCCCATTGGCTCTGCAACTGGTACTAACATCATAGGCGTTCCCATCGACGCAATCTGGGGGTATACCAAGGCCAAGATTGGCGAGGTGGATGATTTCCAAAAGCGGATCATCTGGAACTGGCTCTGTGACGAGGGCGAGGATAAGCTTCTCGTCTTTAATGGGACCAAACAGGTATGTATATGATTCGGCTTGGGTATGGAAACGAGATCTCCAGGGCAATTGCTTTGTGGAAAGCGAAGGACTAATGCTTTCCGTCTCCGATGGTTGAGATATGGGGCGTGTTTGTTGATCCGGTGCGTTGTAACTATGCAACGAAGTTCAGGCGTGCTAGGAGGATGAGACGATAATCTGGTATTGCAGTTATTCCTGTGATCAAAGTCCTGGAAAGCCAATAACGTTGTGGTCGAATCTTCGGAGCGCTTCTCCGGATGCAATTTTAAAATCTTTGGGAGTCTTCACTGGATCTTACTGATGAAACCACATTGCTCGACTGAAACATTACGAGCCTTCCTTGGGAATGGTAAAAAAATAGTATGGTATCAGGTTAACGGTCAATACCGGCCCTTGGCCTACTACGTCGATGGCTATCGCTTCAGATCACGCTTTGGATATGAGTTTCATGTCTTTCTTGGTTGGTTGCCAAATCTCTTAACTTGGAGGTTCCATGGTTACTTTGCTCTAGTATGCCCAAGCTACTTTTTCAATATCACCATCCGCTTCCAGGGCACTCCCACTACCCTCAAGCTCCTTCTCTCCCCCACAACCCATCCATTTCAATCCCTTAGCATTACTAACCTTTAGATCCCGCTTGCGCCCCTTGAGGAACTTCTCGCCACCAACCTCAACCTCACATTCTGCACCTCGGACGAGCTCCAGTGGAAATACCTCACCAACCTTCCCCGCAACACCATCGGAAATGCAGCGTTTTTAGTCCTCTGTGCGGTGGCAAAGCAGCGGCAGAACGGGATTGCAGCCATGGACGTGACCAAAATCACGGGCCAGGACCCCCGTTCGCTCACAGGGCGTCTCAAGGCACTAGAAGACCACGGATTGGTACAAAAACATCCGATTTTCGTCAACAACCGGTCCACAAACTTGCTCGTGCACCACAAATTCGCGGGGACGCCGCGCGTCGTGTATTCTGCCAGCGACACGGGCCAGATGCCGAGCCCCTGTGAGCTTCGCGCATCAATCCTCACGGCGCTCCGTGCCGCGCCCAACCGTCTCCGCGAAAAGTTTGACCTCCGCAAACAGCTCGGACTCGGAACCACAGGCAGTGCCAAGAAGTACTACCGTCGCGCAGTCGCTTATCTCGACGGTGGAGGCTATCTCAAGCACGTGAACGTGCACACCAGTGATGATCGTGACTTGTTGTGCATCGAGTTTGTGAAGGATTTAGACGTTGCTGATGACAACAGCTCAGACCTGGAAGAGCAGGAGGAAGAGGAAGAGGAAGAGTCGGGAGTGGCTCCGATGTACAACCGGTTCTACCCCGTACAAAACCAGGCCTTTGAGGTGATAAAGAACAGCGGGAGTGATGGTGCGACAACAATGCACTTAGTGCTGTCTGTGACGGGGCTAGGGTACACCAAAGCGTTCCAAAAGTTTATTGAACCGTATATCACCGCACTGGCGGGCCAAAAAAAACACTTGACAAACTACTCCATCATCAGAGGCTACGACTTTGAGGGCAAGGTCAAGTTCTACCGGTACTTTTCCGAACCGGTATATAACGAGCTCATGGGAGCGGACGTCGACCCCACCAGTGGTGAGCTAGGGCTGTGGAACGGAAAGAAAGCGTTGGGAAAGTTTTCCGCAGTGTCGAAGAAGGCGCTCAAGCCGTTGGCCAAAATGGTTGCGTTATTTCCGGGTTCCCAGCCGCCAAAGGTACGTGTCGATGCGGAATATGACGCGCCTGTGAGGAAGCGCGGACGGCCTCGGAAGGACGAGGGAAGGGGACTGAAGAAGGTAAAGACGGATTTGGCTGCCCAACTAGACCAGATAGCGGGGGTCGAGGGAGATGAAGTAAAGACGGAAAGTGCATCTGTGTTGAATGGTGGAGCTGAAACTGCAGGCTCCAAAGTCACTGGAACCGATACTGCTTCTATGGCTGAATGGGAGGCAGATGCCATGGCTGGAGCGGTTATTGGAACCGCTGTCGGCACAGTTACCGAAACGCTTACCGACTCCACTACCCAAACCAGTTCAGATGCCGCTACTGAAATTGCTGCAGACTCCATTACTGGCCCTGCCTCTAGCTCTGCCACGCCGTTAGCATCCCCAGCAGGGGCTTCCAGTCCGGCAAGAAGCAATGGTAGGACTCTGTGTCCCTCCGGGATTCCGATTCCTTCTTTTAAGGCCATCCGCCGCCAGGGAATCCTTCTCTCGCTCATCACTGCCCAAGACGGTGCGCTCGTCGTCACCAAAGACATGTTCGAGGAAATTGACCAACGCTTGGGCAGCAAGAACAACGTCACCGACAAACGCACCCTCGCGCGCGATATTGCCATCCTTGTATCCCAGGGAAAGCTCACAGTGTCCAATTACTCCTTCAATCATACAGGGGAGTGCGAAATCTCGCGAAAGTTGCTTCTCATGCCGTCGCTCCGTCCGACGAATGGCGCCATCCAGCGCGCCAAGGAGCGGGCGTTGAAATTGTACTTGAAACGTTTCCAGTTTAAAAAGCCCGACATGCTGACGCTCAACACGGACATCTCGTTCTTTGCGCCCGAGACGACGCTTAAGGCAAAGCGTGCGAAGGCAGCGCCGCGTGTGCGAAAGCCAAAACGTGCGGCTGCGCCCGCGCCACACCCGTTGGATGCGGCGACCGCGGACCGCAGGCCTAAAAAGGCACCATCCAAGCGCAAGCCCGTGGAAAAGACGCCGCGTGTGCGCAAGCGCGTGTCGATGGCGTTCGACAAGGACGACGCGATGACGCTCTACCGTGCGGTCATCATTTCCCGCTCAATGTCACCGAGTGGGCTCATCGAGTGGGAAAAGATCGCCGGTTTGTTCCAGGGCTTGGATGCGGATGACCTCCGACGGAAATGGCCCAAGATTCGTGGACTTCTCGGAGGCAATCCTGGGACGAAACGGGCGACAGAAACGTGGGAAAAGATCTTGTTTGAAGGTATTTCCGAGGGGTTGATCTCGCATTCCGACCTTCAGAGTGGGGACTACGAGATCTTGATCCACTTGTGGGCGAATTCGGATAGTTCCCGACTCGATGACCAGACCCATCCGTTGTACCAGAGTCGGATAGAAAACGCCACCCAGTACGAGTTCTTTGAAGCGACTCCAATCGAGGCGCTTAACGACGAGTTTTACGGAACCAACTCCATTGTCCAGAGAGAAAAGGCGCTTGGAAACATCGCGTTTACCGTTCCGATGGCTAGTAAGGCTGCCGTTACTCCCGATAGGGCGCGGATGGACGGGCTTCGGACGGTGTTGAAGGCCATCTTTGCGACCCAGGACGCCGTCTTCGAAAGTGCAAGGGTCCGCACGATTCTTGAAAAGTACACGGATGCAGAGGTCAAGGAGGCGGTGAAGGAGTTGGAACGTGATAAAGAGGCGGTTTTCTTGGCGCCCGACTCTACCAAGAAGTTTTCCCTCACGGATAGAGTGCTTAGCTCCGATGCCAGGGTGACGGAAGGGTTTTTGAAGGCCGTTTCGCAGTTCCGCTACCTCGCAGAGTCGATTACAGAGGAGAACAAGGCACTCGTTCTCTCCCCGGCAGTGTCCGACCCTGCGATGGTGTTGCTTCTCGAAGCACTCATCTACAAACGGCTTGATTTCACCAGAGTCGACCAACGCCACAAGACGCTTCTCGAGGGCTACGAATCCAGATCACTTGAACGCGAAAAAATCGAGTGTGACTTCATCGTCTCGGCTGCAAAGGCACCGGTAGGTGCGACGCTTGCACCCCAGCCGGTACCAACCGGAGGTCCGTGCAGCCGCATCTGGGTCGACACCAACGGGAACATTAATGCGCCGGTATGGTCGAAGATTGTGGCAACCGTCTTGTCTCACGTAATGGTCAAACCAGGGATCACCGTCGCAGGTGTGCACAAGCTCATGTGGCACATGGTGAGCAAGGACGAGGCCGTTGAGGTGGTGCGCTGGCTCGCGGCGATTGGCGCCGTTCACGTCGGTGAGTATGGCGGACATGTGTTGGTTCCGGGGTGGTACACCGTGTTTGGGTACGAATAGGTTTAAGTTTTTCGGTCTGTATCCGTTGAAATGCGTTGTGGAGAACTTATTAGCATAAGCGCAGATGATGAAACGGAGGGTCTAAGCCAAATATGAGGAGATTGCAACGTTTGAGAGGTTGGACGACCCGGAAGATAATTATTTGCGGTTAAGATTAGGCGTCTGACAACTATTTTTAGGCTCCAAAAGTGGCTCAAAGAATTGATACATTATTTGACCGAAACGAGATCTGGTTACAATAGTTGCTGCTAAAGGATATATTAGTAGTAGTTGCTTGGCACCATTCCCAGGTTAAAAATTATGTCATGTCTTTCTGTGCGTAAGTGGGATGAATAAATTAAGATAAGATGTTTGGGGTCCGTTCGCGTGTCTGTCGATATATCTAGGGTGTTTTCGATCGGTGTAAAGCCAAGAGACTGATATTTTGTGGCTTGGGTATCACCAAGGGTTCCGGTTACGTTTGGACATCATTGGAGAGAAAGCTCAGTATACTGGCAAATACGAATGACAACTTTCGCTGGGAATGAGATCACTAACTAACTGAAAAGAGTTTCTTTTTTATTTATTTGTTTATTTAAATACACTAGACCAAAATAGTAATCTGTTTATATAGCTATAACAACGGAAAAACTCTCAGCTCATGCTGCAGTTGGAAAATGGAATATACTAAACCTGCATTAATAGCTTTCACCAGCAAAGTCGCATAAGCACTTGCTCCGCATTTTAATCTAGCTTGGATATGATTATTAGGTTTCTCCTCTGGTATGATCTATTTGAACCGATTTAACAAATACTGAGCCTGTACCAGTGCCAAGGTCTAAGCCGTGGCTCGAGCTTCTGGGGTAACGGGTTAGCAAATTGTATGACGCAAACCGGATGCAATGTTACCCCCACCTGATATTGGCAGACACCGCCTTTTTCCGGTCGTACCTTGCAATAATTTTAAAATAATCTTTCTAAATTCTCATCTAAAACTGATATTAAAACACTCCTCCAGAGACCTCCGCCCCGTCGCATAAAACGAACCTATCTGTTACCCTGCCTCCTGCATTTACAACGGGGAAAAGGATTTTTTAGCTGAAATCCACACAATGGAACAGCAGTTCTTCTCTCGCCAGTCCACCACACAGCAGATATGGACTCCCGGAAGAACAGATCATCAAAAGCGCGCACTCAGCAGCCCAAACCATACGACCGCTCTGAAAACCCGTCCATCTTCACCCGGGTCCGGCGGTTCTTCACGCCCGCAGCCTGGGCGGCAGAAGTCTCCGACTCTGACAGTCTGGTCGTGCGCGGGCCAGAGCCGTTCACATTTCCAGAGCCGGATATTTCAGCGCTCACCACCCCAAAAACGCTCAAGCTTTCGAGCTCCACCTTTAGCGCGTCGCCCAATGCAACCCTAGCGGAGTTCTTCCAGCGCCGCGGCGACAACCCGTTGAGCGAGATCGAAATGGAAGGCGTGCAGTCGCTCCTCAAGCGGCTGACGGCCAAAAACACGCCGGTTAAGGGCGTGTCCACACCAGATACGACGGTGCTTCGGTTCCCCAGCGAGCTGGGCCACACCCCCGTGGTGGCCACTCCTCTGTTCACCCCCTCGTATGCCACCTCACCGGCGCCGACGCATTCGGCGAAACGTGTCTATCAGTTCTCTGGGCTCCCGTCCCCGTACCGCACGCGCATCCGCTCGCCATTGGCTGCCAGGCTGCCGATCATTTCCCTTCCTATCAAGCGCTCGGACAAACCGCTAAGCAGTACAGCGTCGGCATTATTGTCGTTACTTGAGCTGCCGCTGCCGGAAACGCCTGCGGGTTTCTCCAATCCATACGCGAAGCGCCGGTTGAATGACTTGGAGCAGTCCACGCCGAAAAAGGCGACGATTCTTGATATCGAGAACACGATAGAAAAGGCTCCGTCGGGGGACTTTTCCTTCTCTGTGATAGTTCCCACCCCCAAGGCAGAGGCCAAGGAACAAAGTACAGAGGCTGTGAAGCCTTTCTTGTTTGAAAAAACAGAACCAGTCAAGCCGTCTTTGGCTGGTGCTACGGAGGTGGTATCGACGACCCAGAAACCGGTCTTTTCCTCTGGCAGCTCTGAGGCCAAGGAACCAGCTACATCGGCTCTCTTTGGAAAGTCTTGTGAGAACGGCTCGGACCCAGTAAAGTCTGCTTTTGCGCCTGCCATGAACGGGCCTGCCACAGCTGGAGCCCCGGATGTGTCAGAAAAAGAAGAAGCCGCCCTTACTCCGTGCCTGGCTGAGGAGTTTGTATTTCCACTGATCGTCCCGGCTGCCAATGTCGAGGTGGATGACCTGCTCGTCGCTCAGTATAAAGACATTTTCACCTTCTAGGGAAGGAGTTTTTTTTTTTTTTTTTAGTTTCTTTAATATCTCTTGGGAATATTAATAACGTTGGTTTCTAATCGAGTGAGTAGCAGCTATCTGTCTCTGTAAAATACGCTACACACGGATTTTGTAGCATAAGAGTTTATGAATTTTTCAATCAGGTGTATGCCATTTTTGACTGTAAAATTTCTACAACCATGGACACGAATTATAAACGTGTATACCTTGTTATAGAACTGCCTTTTGTGTCTAGACGTGACAAGGGGGTAAATGGTTTACAAATGAAAGCCTTTTACATTTACGCGCAGTAAATCTACATCGTTGATAAAGATCGGAACTCGTGCAATTTAGCGCCCGCACTGAGCAAAGGACATTCTAATTGATCTATCTTTGTATAAAGATCGCTCATTCCAAGTAATGAGTTTCACAATGGCAAACAAAACAAGCTGTTTAGATGGAAAAGACCAGTGCTGCTGAAATCGGGCGGAATTCAACGTATGTGGGAAACAGGATTTAGTGATAATAGCTCCCGTATACCTTATCGGATCGGACCTTCAATGTTGACAGATATTAGCCCTTTAAAAGTTGTCGTAAATCCTTGGCCGGCTTGATGATCCCACTGGTGTCCTTCCCACAGATGAAACACCCCTTCTTAACATTGTACTGCTTAAAAAAACATGCTTCGCAGAAGTAGTGCCCGCAGTTCGTCACCACCGGCGACTTATAGTCCTCCTTGCAAATGACACACTTGAACGGAACTCCTTCCTCCACAATCTTATCGCGGATTCTAGCACCCAGTCCCACGGTCTCCCACTCCTTATCGATTTTCCAGCCCGCCTTGATCGCGTCTCGGATGTGCAAGAACTTGCACGTGTCTCCGTACCCACAATAGCCGGTTTGCTTGTAGTCCTTGCACACATCTGGCTGGAAGTCTATGGCAGTGGTGGATCGCACATTAGTGGCTGCCTTAATCGGGCCGTTAAAGGCAGTGGAACCCGTTTTGTCTGTTTTGGAGGTCTTGAAATCGCTGTAGTTGCTTCTGCCCTTGTAAAGAGAGTCATCACCGTCTGTTTCAATCTTTTTTGTTTCTTCTGCCTCATAGAGCACATTCTGCTTGGTGGCATCAGAGGTGTTTGTGGTGCTCTGCAATCCCAGGCTACTGAACACTGTGAGAATGCTATCTGGTCCCTTTAGTGCGGGCTGGATCAGAGACGGCTTACTCCTCTTGATCACGGGAATGGCTTCCTCGTCAAGGTGAGCAGCGGCGTCATCAAAGTCCACTTTTTGGCGCTTTTTGCTGACCGTAGCCTTGGTGTTTCTCTTCTTGAACATGGTAGGTGATATCGGTGGAATATGGGGATAGAATGTCGCAGACGTGTATCTAATCAAGAACAGATGGTGCAAGCTCTGAGTGGATGGCTGGCGTATGAGCTATGAAGGTAAACCGATACCTGTTTCTCGATCCCGGACTGTTTCACCTTCCCTGAGTTCAGGAATTACTTATGATGGCGATATCTATTCCCACTGCTCGAGGAAGTGTTCTGTGTTAACCACCGTGGTATCTATCAGTGGCGCCAGGACAGAACCGCCGTTGATATTGGGCCGTGCGTGGAATTTTTTACATACAGGATATTATGTACAGGACTTGCGAGAACTCTCGATGCCTGTAATTGACAAAGGAATTTACTAGCAAGATGACTAATTGTGGCGCATGCATGTCTAAGTGGCAAGTCATGCCTACATTGGGATCGTGGCTGTGAGAATCGCTACGGGTCTTTATTTAATTGCAGGATGACGGTGTTTACATTTTATTCGTCAAACCAGACTCAACCTTTACAGCTGGTCACTTTTCATCAAAGCTGCTTCTTTTCCTTAAACTATAGGTAAGACTCCATGCCGAACCAAACGTCATCCCAGATTGCCGAGTCGTACCTCCTCTCGGCCCAGCTCACCACCTTCAGCAAGCTCCTCCCGTACGCGAAGTTTGCCAAGCTCTTTCCCAGGGCCACAAATCCCAAGACGATTGACCTGATGTACAAGCAGCTAGCTCGGCTGAAGGAGGAACAATTTGAGAGGGTAAGGGCTCTGCTATCGCGGGACTTTGCGCCGCTGGTATCGGTCCAGGGTTATGTGGACGAAAACCCGTTCACAGATAGGACCACTATCGAGTCTGTCAACGCAAAGTTAGAGCAGCTTTGCAAGCAGCTGGAATACGAGATTTCCAGCGTAGAGGCTTTCAACGCAAAGTTGCTAGAAGCCATGAATATGAGTGTGGATGAGTTGAACGACTTGCGCTACGGAAAGTATACCAGCCAGGAGTTGGTGCAAAGCACGAATGAATCGTTGGATCGATTGGAGGAAATTTTGGCCGAGAAACTACCATAGCGTTTTAAAATCGAATCGGTGTCAGGAACGTTTGTGGTTTGGTTCCAGGCTTGAGGATGGCCCTACGGGTATGGTGCTGACCCTATAGAGCAGGCACTCTATCAATTAGGTAACATCTCATGAGCGAGCACCGGTAAAAGCTACTGGGAAAGGGGTACTTGGCTGGTTTGAAGTGACACTTTCTCATTCCCCTCGCAAGGGTTATATTTCCGGCTCCTTTACTAGAACTATCAAGTGACGAATCTTTCATTCACTGGACTACGATACCTCATCCTGTGCTAGAATACCCCTGAAGCTATGATAGCTTTATGTTCCTTAAACAGCATATTCCACGCAAGAATCATAGTGACAGCCACTCTTTTAGTCCTCCATTCAACACTGGCGTTCTACAAAATAGGTCAAATATAGCCTTTTTTTTCGCCTAACCCATTACAAGCTATTCAACCCTGAAATATCACTCTTCGACGCCGGAAGATGGGTATCCGCATATACTTCAGGCTTAACATAATTAAAGCTCTCTAAAAAATGATGTATGAAATGCAACCTATTACCTTAAATGCTAGAACTACTAGCATAAAATCCTTCTGTCTCCTATGCCTCTATCTCCCCTAGTTCCGGGACCTGGTCCGCCAACTTCTCACTTTCCTTCACCCACTGCCAGGCCTCAAACCGCCAGTTCAAGTACTTGTGCTGGTGGATGCCCAATTCCGGGTCAAGAAGCCCACCGCGTCCCAGACTCGGCTTTAGAAAGAACAATTGGCCAATTCGCGAATGTACAAGGGCCATACAACACATCACGCATGGCTCATGGGTAGTGTAGAACTGTAAGTCCAAACACAAGTAGTTCTTCTCCCGTTCTTCGGAGCCTTCGTTTCGAGTGGTTTTCTCCACAGAAGCCACATTTTGGATGCACCTCATGATTGAATGGTCTAGCGGGTTTACAGAACGGCATCGTTCGTCTAGTGACCACGTCAAAACCTTGTTGGTCTTGGGATCGGTAACCATGGTGGCCACGGAAACGTGCCCCGGGGTAACATTCTCCAAAAGTTTCACTAGCTTTCTCAAGTTTTCAGTTTCCCGGGCGGTGTGTAGTCTGACAGAAGCAAGGTATTGATTGTTTGGGTTTCCTTTCCACACTAGCGGCCAATACCTTTCGGACCACTCGAGCATGATCTCGCGCGTGGATGGTGGATGAAGGGGAACCTTCACGAGCTGGAAGCACGACACGTTATCTCCTGATTTTTTGAAAACCCTAGCTACAATCTCAGATGGGTCTGAAAAGAGTTGGCTACCGCATATCACCACCTGCAAGATCTGGTCGTGAGTGGTCGGATGGGTCGTCTTCTGGACGCGTTTCAAGTGGTGGAGATCCACATCTTCGCTCACGTTAATGTTCTCCTTGATATCTCTGGTTGGTTAGTTTTGAAAGGCCTGCAGGGGAGCTATACATACGAAAGAACGGTCTTGGAGTCTCGCGGGTTCACGAGACACGACCAGACATCCGTGAGCTCTAGCACGCTGTCAGACGTGTTGTTGGACCCTTTGATCTGCTTAAAAGTGCCGTCTATCGTGCACTCATCTTCATCAATCTTGTGCGGAGATTTGTATTTGGCCATTATTTGAGGGAAGGGACTAGGGCTGGGTAAAAAAAGCAGCCGTTGTGGGAGAGAAAGCTCGCTAAATTTTTCAGCGGAGTTCAGGTTGGGCCATGCGGCGCGAGCCGCATCAGGTTGACCCCATCTGTACTACAAGGCTTTATAGTGCAAAAACAATTTCGATGACCGTTAAAGTGGGTGAGATTCGGTTTCTATTGGGTAAAATTTTGCCTGCTTTTCCCATTCTTTTTTTTTTAATTAATCACAGATTGGTCAGTTGCATTCCGCGATGGAAGTTAACTGGATGGCTAAAGAAGTCTACTACTGCCGCAGCCAAAATTGAGAACCGCGAGGAATGCGGCGCATATGGTTAACACGCGTCAAGGTTGAATCTTTTTGCGGCCCTGTCCGTATCTATTCCTAACCAGATCCACCTTCCATACGAATGTCTAAGAATGCTATCTTTGTTTGCCTTTCTCCTGAAGGTGGCTCCCGAGGCGCAACTTGTCAGCGATTCAGACCTCTACCGCGACCCGGTCGACTACGTCACCTTTCTCCACACCACTCAGGTGGTACAAAACCACCAGCTCAAACACTGTTCCGTTCCTTCCCACGTCTATTCAGCCGAACAGGAGTACTCCCAGTTCATTGATGGAATGGTTTCCGTGATGGCTAAGCAGCTGCTGGCGAACGTGCTTGTGATGTCCTACAAGGAGACAGAGTGGTTCGAAAACGTGTATACGAGCTTTGCCGTCACGTTTCTCAAATCTGCGAACTGGAATAGGGTTTTCTGCAGAGTGGGGGTAAGGGTATTTGTAGAGCTTCTCTTGGACTATGATTGCTACGTCAAACGGAACGCGATTCATGTTTTATTGTTTGGCCATGTGACGAACCTCCCCCGGTACTCTGAGAGCAAGTTCTCGCCGGCGGTTGGGGGTAAAAGCGCGATGCTCTTCAAAGAAGCCAGTCAAGTTACAAAACTAAACCCAGTTCCTCGAACGGCTAACCTTTTGTTGCAAGAGATGTTTCCGACAGCGAGACTCAAGCCCCACTGTCCCAGAAAACTCAAAAGCCTACGGAAGGTATTGATAAGAGTTGTCAGAGCCCACGCCAAGTGCAATTATATTCATCACATCAACCGGTTTTGTCCCTTGGTCGAAATTGATACCGAAAAGAACAACTTCCAGTATGCCACGTCCCGGAAGCAGGTGGTTGCGTTTATTGTCTTCGTGGTTGACCATTTGTTTCCGTTGGAGGCTTGGGGGTCCAAAGGAAACAAGGCGGAGGTATTCTCCAAGCTTGCCTTCTTTATAAACAGTGGCCGCTACTTCCCGTTCACGTCCGGTTTCTTCACTGAAAGAGTCAAGATCAAGGAAATTGAGTGGTTGGGGAAGCGTGTCGAGAAGATGAACAAGCAAGACTTTGAAAAACGGGTGGGGCTCTTTCAGGGGTTTGTTTCCTGGCTATTTCGATCATTCGTTACCAAGCTTTCTGCCTCGTTTTTCCACATCACCGACGGGTCCCAGACTCCAACGTTGTACTACTACCGGCATCAGACATGGCTCAAACTCACCCGTCCGTTCATGAAGAGCTATATTTCCCGGTTTCTTGAACGGATCACAGATTGTCTGAACCACTTTGCGGCGCTCGACCAGACGGAGTATCTCCATGGGAAGTTGAAATTGCTTCCGAAGAAACACGACTTCCGGGTGGTTTGTTCGCCTTTCAAAGGAACGGACAACCGACAGCGACAGGTGTACAAGAACTACTTGTTCGACTACATCAAGCCAGTTCGAGAGATCCTCAACCAAAAGCGGTACGAGCAAAAGGTCCTCCGCCCGCGATGCTCCTCCGTGAAAGACCTTATCGCTGGGATTAAGGAATACAAGCAGACGGCTCAGGGCAAAGAGCATTACTTTCTCAAGTTTGACATCAAGCAGTGCTACGATACTCTCCCAAAAAGCAACACCCTCAAGCTCATCAGATCGTTCTTGGTAAACAACGAGACGTACTTCCAGCGCAAGGTCTTCCGGTCGGTCCCTAATGGAGCGGTTAACGGGCCGAAATCCAAAGTTGTCGCCACTACATTAATCTCCGACTCCTCTCATCTCCGGGAAATTAACTTGCTTGAAAGGGGGGCTACCAAAAAGGGGGAAACTACAGAAATGTCTGGGTTACAAGAGGCTGACTTGAAAAGATCGGAAGATCCACCCGTAGGCACCTTTTTTGTCGATGGGCACATCACCAGAAAACTTCACCACGACGACATTATGCAGATCTTTAATGCACATCTAGACAACTCCGCGGTCGTTTACAACAACAAGTGTTACAAGCGAAAACGGGGGGTGTTCCAGGGGCTACATCTCTCGGCTGTGCTGTGTGAGATCTTCTACGACCATGTGGTTAACCGCTTGTTTGGCTTTTTGGGCCCGGATCCGGAGACACTCGTGCTAAGGCTCGTGGATGACTTTTTGGTAGTGTCGACCAAACGCGCAATAACAGAGAAGGTCTATAACGCCATTCATGAGGGCCAATTTGAGGAGTTTCCGGGTATCTCGGTTAACCGGGTGAAGACCACCAAGAATTTTGCGAACGGGGAGTCAGTAGGGGTGCTGGAGTTGGAGTTCTGCGGGTTAACCATCAACACTGAGACCCTAGACGTTGTACGGAATCACGGTAATGAGTCCTCCTATAATTCTTGCTCGGAATCGTTCAAGCAGTTGTACGCCACATTGTTCAAGTCCTTCCAGGCCAAGTTGATCGATACGCTCTTGGACTCTAAGTTAAATAGTGTGGAGGTGGTTTTGCAGAACATTGAGCTTACTGGGCGCAACATCACTCTAAGCATGGCGTTCGCCACAACGAGGCTTGCTCGCCAGGATTTCTGCGAAGGTGGATTTGAGGAGTTTGTGTATACTCTCATTCAGTATACAGTGGAACAAGTTAGAACGGCAAACCGCCATGATCCCAAATTTGTGACCCTCCCGTTTTGCCATGCGGTGGAGGACATTCTCCGAGAGTGTTTCTCTCGGTTCCGGGAAAAGTTGAGGTAATCCTGAAGCTTCGAAATTCACTTCTTTATAGGCCTTATTCCGCTAACTGAATACGGTTTAATCATCTGAGAGTACTATTGTGGTGATGGTGGTCTAACCGGGACCTGCAAGATGCATGGCAAATATGCACGACGTACCTACATATATCATCCCACGTTCTAATATTGAAACATTCACCATATCTATCCTGGAATATACATAAATTTTACTCATATCCAATATATTAAAGTGACACGTACTAAAGGGTATGCAGATAGATATCAATACTACATATATGATAATTGTACAATGCCATGGTGTACATATGCGCAAAGGTGAATATTAAGTATATTAATACCAACGAATGCACCTATACAACATATAGACAAGACGGCACGTACAGTATTTGAATATATTCACCTCCACTTTAATACCTTCAATGGATACGATACACACATAGGCCTCTTAATTGAGCCCTAGAGTTAGCTAACACACCCAAGCTTTGTTCATTGCTCAACGTGTCAACTGCTGCTCATGACACGTGCCCGAACCAGACCATCTCACAGTCTCCCACCGAATCTGCATACAGACTCTAGAAGCTTCTTCCGTCCGGGTAACGCATACCCACGTTTACGCGCTGCCCCCAGCGGACAGTTGCTGGAGAAAAAATTTCAGCTGGTGCCAGCGCTCAACCTCTGATCTTAAAAAACGGACGCACCCATTTTTTCACTGTCTATCTAACTTCTGCTTAGCATCTCAATTTTTACAATGTCTTTCTCTGATTTCTCTAAGGTCGAATCCATCAAGGCTGCCAACGACTTCTTGGCCGAAAAGTCTTACATCGAAGGGTATGTTTCGCTGACAATTGGCGTTTCCAGTGCGAATCCTCTGATGAGCAAACTTGGTCCGTGTTTTAGAGGAGACTTAAGACCCTCCAGATGACTGACGAAACAAGGGAGATTAAGACCTCCACCTCTGAGATTCACACGCATTGGTGACGAAAACGACCACCTTTTGGTTTCATACTAACAATCGCAGTACTTCCGCTACCCAGGCTGACGTTGCCGTCTACAAGTCTTTCCAGAAGGAATTCCCAAACTTTGCCAGATGGTTCAACCACATCGCCTCTTTCACTGAAGAGTTCGCTGACTTGCCAGCCGGTACCGTTCCAGCTGCCGCTGCCTCTGTCGAAGAAGACGACGATGACGTCGACTTGTTCGGCTCTTCTGACGAAGAAGTCGACGAGGCCGCTGAAAAGCTCAAGCAGCAGAGATTGGCCGAGTACGCCGCCAAGAAGGCCAACAAGGGTGCCAAGCCAGCCGCCAAGTCCATTGTCACCATGGACGTCAAGCCATGGGACGATGAAACCAACTTGGAAGAGTTGTTGGCCAACGTCAAGGCCATCGCCATGGATGGTTTGGTCTGGGGTGGTTCCCAGTGGATCCCAGTCGGTTTCGGTATCAAGAAGTTGCAGATCAACTTGGTTGTCGAAGATGATAAGGTCTCTTTGGATGACTTGCAGGCTTTGATCGAGGAAGACGAAGACCACGTCCAGTCTACCGACATTGCTGCCATGCAAAAGTTGTAAGCTGTTTACTAGATTTATCGACCTAAACATGTTTTCTAATCTGGAACCAGCGTCCAGAGCCAATCTCAGTGTCTAATCTCAAGAATAGATTATTGTATCATATTAGAAGTGGTGCAGGATCGTGTAGGCGGGAGTCTAAAGGGAAATAGTAAGAGGTTTATGGTTATTCTAACCTCAGGGTTAATACCGAGACTTTTGGGGATTATCGACCGACGTATGCCTCAAGCTTTAGATCTCAGGTAAAACAGGGCATGTATCTTCTCTACTCGTGCAGGTAACAGTTTACATTTATTCCCGGGAACAATCTCACCACATTATAAATTGACCTAACTATGTCGATTTCAGAGCATGTATATATTTCTCTCCCAAAAGAAACATCAATAAATACTCTAGGTACAATCCAGGTAACAAAAATCATCCCTCCAGAAACCTCCACCCTGGTCGTGTGCCGCCTTGTTTTCTGTTGCTATTCCAGACTGGCGCCAAATTAAGCGCCGAGGCAAACTGACACTCACCCAAACTCCTCCTCAAAAAATTCCCACCCTTGCAAGCTACGATTGGAGTGTTAAATTTCTAACACAAACAAGGTAAATACATCTGCTTTGTTTGGATTGAATTGGTCAGCTTTGCACAAAGTTCTGATAACGTCGTCGCCAAACTCCCCCTCCCCCTCCCTCAACTCTTATCATGTCTGAGTCCACTGACCTCGACCATGCGGACATCCCGTCGGTTAATAATATCGCCCAGGAAGTGGCAGAAACCATTGATACAACGCCCCTCCGAGCCACGTTCAGCGGAAAGACATCCTGCCCGTCGCCGTTTTCTCAGAGCGACCTCCCGCCAACTGATAGCTCGCCACTCCTTGCCTCAACCCCTCCCACGGTCTCCCGAGCCCTCATAAAGGCATACCCATACCTCCTCTTTGCGAACCGGCTCCTTCTGGTGGTTACATGGACCAATGAGGATATCTGGCTCTCGATCCTCATGGTGCTTGCGTACAACGCGCTCGTGGTCTACTACGAGCCACTCGTGACATACGTCGGCCACCTTCTCCTTGTGGGAATCGTTGCTTTGTACACGGTGGCGTACCGCCAGGTAACACTCCAGGCACAACAGAGACCGACGCTCGACGACGTGATCTTCGTGCTCAACACCGTCACCGTCAGAGCCGACATGCTCCTCTCGCCCATCACGTCGCTCTCGCTCACGCTGGAGGACTTGAAGCGCTTACTCTTCACCACCATCTTTCTCACGCCCATGTACATTGTATTGACCTTCTTCTTTGTCAACCCGCAGATGCTCTTGCTCCTCTCGGGCAACTTCGTGCTCACCTATCACTCACACTTCAGTCGTGTGGGCCGTAAGATTGCGTGGAAGTCGCGTACCGTGCGCGTGTTGTGTTTCTACCTCACGGGCTTGAACTTCAACGCCCACAACCCACACCACCGTGCGTCGCAGTTGTTTGCCTCGGCCGTGGCGAAGGTGACCAAGAGCGAGAGCACAGGAGCCAAGCCCGTGCGCTTTACTTACGTATTGTATGAGAATCAGCGCCGCTGGTTGGGTATCGGCTGGACCTCCAACCTCTTGAGCTACGAACGCACCGCCTGGACCGACGAATTCTTGAACGAGTCTGTCGCCACTGACGAGTTCCAGCTCCCGGAGACGAACGCCTCCGCCAGGGCTCCGGACACCATGTACTGGCGCTGGGTCGACAAGACTTGGCGCTTGGACCTCACCAACGACGGCGGACTCCAGTTGCCGCGCAGCCGGTCTAAAACTACCCCGGACCCCGGCCCCGATGAAGGCTGGATCTTCTCAGATAACACCTGGAAGAAGCCCGGCACCGAAGACTCGTTTGGAAAGTACACTCGGCGGAGACGGTGGATCAGAACGGCTGAGTTGGTCCCGATTGGTGGTAGTGCCACCACAGTTGTGACTGGCGCCGCCGACACTTCGCACAACATGAGCTCCCCGGAAACCCAGAAGGTGTCTGTCGTGGGCGAGCTCAACACCGAGGTGAAGAAGAAGAAGAAGACGTTGCGGTTTGACTTTGAGGAGCCCAAGCCGTCGATCTTGGAGTCGGTCAAGATTTTGGAAGAGCAGCTGGCGCGTGAGGAGCAGTTGATTGCCAGTGGCGTGACATCGTCAGCCCAACGGCGCGCGAGCAGTGGTAGTGTGCGGAGTGTGTCCTTTGGGGAGGATTCGGTCCCGAAGGATGAGACGGTGGATGAGAATCTGAAGGATAAGTAGGTCAAAAGCGTCAGGTTTCCAATGGAAAATTGAAGAGGGAGGTTGAAACAATGAGTACTTCATGGTAAATGCAGCCTGTGAATTTTCTCGCTGAAGCGATAGCCTCGGATGAGAGCTTTTATGCCACTCATCGGCTTGAGAGAGATTTACTTGACTGTGCTTTCCCTGACAGCCTTTACTTCTATTTGTACCCGTGGCATGCTATGTTGTTTGACTCTTTTAGTTTTACTCTCACTCTGAACATCTGGATATGGCCAATCCCGCTCACCCAGCGGGCGACGATTTTCCTTGATACAAGCTTACGCGTATGAAATCCAACAGTACCATTTTTCATTCTAAAGTTATATGCCAATAAAGATGGCGACTGAAGATTAAAATGTGATCCTACCCCCAACCTGTTGTTTTATGGAGTTTATTGTTTATCTAGCGTTTCTGTTTTTTTCGCACTAACGACTAATGTTCCGTTCGTTGCTGTCTTGTAAAGTGTATATGCATGCTATACCTACTATCTCTTGCAAAAGGGGTTTGTCCAGGTTCTATGAATCATTATAGGATCTCCGAGGATTAGCAAAGATCAATCGGCGTTGCGCTTTCGTTTATCTTTCCAGAGAGCACCCATAGAAGCTCTTTAAAGGTTAAGGAAAGTGCAACGTCACAGGAACCCTGAAAACAAGTCTATCCAGGCACTGCAAGACACCAGTGCTTGGACTACACGTCGGGGTATATTCATTGACAAAGTATGGAAGGAGTCAATGGTCGAGACCAGGACTCTCCCTCTGACATGGGACAACCTATTCCTGCTATGTTAAATTTTTATAGTTTAGCCGAATATATCTTCCACGAACTGCCTTATCAAGGGGTGGAATAGAGATTGAAACGAGATTATGGTAGGCTAAGTTGCTCTTATAACTATCTTGATTGCTCTCATGACCATACATGAGCTAAAATTCAAGAATGTCACTCCTCTATTTCACTCTCCCATGGAATTGAAAATTTTCCCGGCTTTGTAAGGTCAATCTACTAGTAACGGAACTATCTTGGAGATCTTTTTTTTTGGTTCCCGCTATTTTCCGGGTGCTATAACTAATGGCTTATCTTATTTAGATTCGTGGATAATGTTAATGTAAATTATGTCAATGGATTTACTTTAGCGTTGATCTTGATACAACTTCTCAACCACCCAACTTTAGCTTTCAGTCTTAGCTCTCTACCGTAACTCTCTTCAGCTTATCAAAACACTGAGCTCTTACACGGCAAAAAGTAATTGCGCCAGCCCGGAATCGAACCGGGGGCCCAACGATGGCAACGTTGGATTTTACCACTAAACCACTGGCGCTTGTAATTGAAGGTGAGAATTATTGTTTGAGTTCTTCCTGGGCATAGATCCATGGCTCGGATTAACGCACCGAAATAAGATACGCTATACATTGTGCTAAACAAAAACGAAGCAACCATAATTTACGCCCGTAGATCTTGGAGTTCAACCCTATAAAATGATTTATAACCAGGTATAAGTACCCATTGATTCTCCAATTGCCCTATCTAGAACACTTGCGTAACCTCTTTCTGTTCCAGATAGCGAAATACATCAATCCATGCACATGTCTTAGAAAAGGGCATGTAGCTTGGTACAGAGGGCCAACTAAACTGATACAAATTAAATTTAATAAATTGATATATCTTATGACCCATAATAATAAAACCTCCAAAGCCGCCACCGTTTACACATTACATCTTTCTACTTTTGCCAGTCCAGCACGGCAACCATGCCTCAATCTGCATTGTCGTGCACGCACCAGCAAAACTGCGAACGCGTGAAATAAATAAACGAATATCCAAGCAAGCGCTCGTACCCTTAGCTTGTGCCCAACCATCAATGTCCACACACACGCTCTACCCGCAGGCGGCAACGACACAGCTCCCGTCACGCGTCAAAAACGACACGACCGCGCTCTACCTCACGGCAGCGCCGCCGCGTGCGACGAAGCGTGCAACCGCTCAAGTTAACTACGCGGAGCTTGACAACGACACGGACTTCCTCCTCGACGAAGAGAAGGCTGCGCACAGCCAGGCCCCGTCCGTGGCGGCTCCTGTGACGCAGGTGGTACCCGCGCGCGTTACGCCACACCAATACCACACGCCCGCGCAGCTCGAGACCCAGGCGAGCGCGCCGGAGGTGATGGTGCCAATCCGGCTCAACCTCGAGCATGCGAGTAACAACAACTCGCGTCTCGTGGACTTTTTCATGTGGAACCTCCATGAGTCGCTCTGCACGCCGGAACACTTTGCGCAGCTCACATGCCACGACCTCGATCTCCCCGGGGTGATGCAAGGTGAGATGGCGCGGTCGATTCGCGTGCAGCTTGAGGAGCACGCGACAATCGCACGCGCGCCGCTCACGGGTGAAGTACACGCAGTGGTGCATCTCCAGGTGAGTCTCGGGTCGCAACTCCTCGCAGATCGTCTCGAGTGGGACCTAAGCGACACGACATACACGCCAGAACGGTTCGCGGGCACGGTGGTAGCGGACATGGGGCTCGCGCTCGAGTTCAAGCCCGCAATCGCACACGCGATGCACGAGACGCTCCTCCGGCTCAAGCGCGACGTAATCGAGGGCACGTTCGCATACGAGGTGCGCAACTTTGCGTACAGCGGCGTGCCGCGCGAGACCACCGCGACACAAGTGCTGGTGCAAGCCGGGTTGCGCATCGACTTGGACCGCATGAACGGCAGCTGGGCACCGGTCGTTGAGACGTTGACCCAATGGGAGATTGAGAAGCGTGAAATTGAGCGCGAGAGGAACTTGAGACGGTTGAAGCGCGAGACGATGCGGGTGGTGCCCGTGGAGGATAAGCGGCGCGGGGGGTATAAGCGGAGATACGACGAGTTAGAAGGAACGATGCGGCCAGTCACGGGGTGGTAAGCTCGCAGGTTGTGATGCAGCCTCCTCACGCAAAGGCACGCGTTTCTACTGACTGTCGGATCCGCATCTCACGCTCCCCGAGGTGGAGCTCAAGGCGGCCAGGCCAGAAAAATAGTATGGCATGTATGTACTTAACTAGAATTTTTTACAGTAAATAGTTGTAAAGGCTTTCTAGGGGGAGCAGACATCTACTCCCCGATATATATCGAATAGTCCTTATACCGGTAGAAAGTCGATCCCTGATTTGAGCCACTCGCGACCACTGAGCATCTCCAGTGATCGCTTGCCCGTGCGCCAGCAGTCCTCCACAAGCCGGAGGATCGTGCTGATGGTGCCCATCTGGACGTTGCGGTGCAAGTTCGTGATACACCGCCGCATAGTCTCGCGTGTGTAGTCGGTGGAAGCGTGGCAGCCCATCTCAAAGAGCGGCCAGACCATCTGGGTTACCAACGGCGAACGCTCACCTATAGCGTCGTAGGCCGAGATAAATTCGAGGAGGTTAGCATGGATGGTGTCAGAGTACCCCTCGGGCTTGACAGTCTCGAGTAATGCGTTGTACGTGCTTAATGACCAGCACTGGGCACACTTGAGGCGGATGACGTAGTCTTCCAGAAGGGGGATGTATTCGCGGTAAGCAATGAGGTGGGCTTTGACCAGCTGGAAGGCGCCAAGAATTTCCTCGCGCGTGAGGTTGTTGTACTTCATGTTGCGTTTGAGCCGGCAGAGGTCCGCTATGCACTGAAATATTTCTCCAGGACACCCCATCATCCGGGAGGTCGAGATCGCCGCGTGCTTGTCTCCGTACCACGTGGGATTGCAGTAAGGAAGGCGACAATCTGGGGAAACCACTGCGGTGATGGTGTCGAACCAAGATAGCACGCAGATCAATGACTGGGATTGGTCAATCTTGGCCAACACCTGCTGAAACGTGTGGTCCTCAGAAATCCGTGCAAATAGCTTGAGGAAGATGCGAGAGAGGGATGACCGCCCGTTCTCCAATACCGCAAACAAGATGTGCACGTAGATCAACAAGAGGATGACAAAGAAGGATGATTGTTTCTTCTGCGTCTCCTCCTTGAGGTCACCCACGATCTGGTCAACATTAAAGGCAGAGCCCTTCCGGGGATCATCCATCTGATCAGCATTAAAGGCAGAACCCCTCCTGGAATCCTTCTTCACCGTGTCCCTTCGCACGTACTTGCTCAAGTACTCCATCGTGTTGTGCATGTGGTGCATCCCTTTCTTGTAGAAGTCGCGACCTCCTTTGCTCTCGTACAAGTGCATGCACGAGAGTGAGATGAAGCACGAGCGCGCTATCTCGAGGTCACAGTATTTGAGCGCGAGCTCCGGCCAGGGCGAGTTCGGGTGAGCATCGAGCAACGGGAGAAGCTTCTTGAAGAAGTGTCGCAACATCATGTTTTCCTCGTGAAGCGTGGTATCGGCCAGTGGGCTGAAGAGGTTGGTGTGGTCGATGTAGGTCATGATCTCACGGTTGTCAGCATTCATATTAAGGCGGTTACCCCCGGCACTGGAGTCACCGTTAATCAAGTCGCGGATGTTTGGCGTGTTAAAAGATGGCGATGCAAACTCCGGGTCGAGGCTAAATGCTGGAACGTCAAACGGGCTGTCGAAGTTTCTCATCAACGGCGAGAGAAAGTTGTCGAGACTGTCGTATAACGCAGTCTCGAACTGGTATGGATCAGTGATGTCGTAGTTGAAGGGGAGTCCTTCTAGCATTGTCAGTCCCAGAACCCCCAGGTCTGGCAATGGTCCCGGCACCGGTCGCTCTACCATTGTCCCCTCTGGCATTCCTGGTAGCATCAATGGCTCTGGCATCGTTGTTGGTTTTTCGGGCACCATTGGTTTTTCTAGCAACATTTGTTGTCCTGATAACCTTGTCTGTCCTGCTACCATTTCCATTCCCGTTACGATCGCCATCCCAGGCCCTACCTGCCCTCCTGTTGCCCCCATCTGCCTTCCTATTGCTCCCACCTGCGCTGGTATGACCATATTCAGCTCAGATCGATGTTCAGCCTCTTGGGAATGCATTTTTCGCTCCGGCCGTACCCTCACGATCCCACCGTTTCGCACCCCAAAATTGTGCATTGTTTTGCTGCGCGAGGCATCCGCGTCGAAAATGAGCTTAATGCCGTAGCCACCACATGTGCGGCCGCTAGAAGTACAATTTTCACAAGACGGCTTCGCCTCGTCGCACTTCCGTCGCCTGGAGTGTTAGTAGGAAGCTGAGAAGAACCAAGCCTAACCAGGGTCTCGCCTAAATGATGCATACCTGGCTTTACACGTCCAGCAGCCCGTGCGGACACGTGTAACCTTTCCCATTGGAGCTTGAGACAGTTTAATAAGTAGAACTGAGGGTTATGGTGAGCTGATGATAAGGGTATTAGTGAAGGGTAGACTCTGAGCTCGTATGGAGTTTTGGTATCAAGCTGCAAGTTGCAGGCTGGATGCTTATTACGGCGCCGGTATACGCACGAACGATCGAGTGAGGGGGTAAAGGCAGAACTAACAGAAGCTTCAGTCTTATAAACCGTTCTCTTGCAATCATCACTGGGCTTTGGGTTAACCATTAGAGTTTATCGTTGCGAACAGGGTCTTTGAGTAAAAAGAGAAGTGCCTCCAGCCAGATTCGAACTGACGATCTCCTCATTACTAGTGAGGTGCCTTACCAACTTGGCCATAGAGGCGAGCTTCGAGTTTCCGAGGTTTCAACGCCTGTTGGGGTATCAGTCAGGGGGCTGTAATCAGCCATTAATTCGCAAAATACTGCCAGGATAAGCCACCAAGTTGTTGAAGTCTGTCTTTATACGTTGTTAAAACTCGTCTCTGTATACATTTGGTGTTGCAGGACCGTTTGATGTTTGTTTGAAGTATTCCATAAAAGCGCCTCAAAAGAACATCAAATAATGTTTCAGAAGTGATTTCGGTATAAACAAAAGTTATCTCACTGGAAGAACCAATTATCTATAAAAGGACGTATAGTTTCCTTATTTTTATTATCCTTGGTATTATAATTAACAAATACACATATTCTAGACTTTGTGATCTTTACTGACTATGAATTCGAGCTAAGGATCAGATAGAACTCTTATACCACAACAACCAATCCGTGATAGTTTAGTGGCTAGAATCCCCGCTTGTCGCGCGGGGGACCGGGGTTCAATTCCCCGTCGCGGAGCTCTCTTTTTGAAATATTAGCCAATTAGTCTTTTATTTTTCTTTTTTGCATTGTGTGTTAATGGTAATCACGCTTGTGGGTTGAAAGACGGCTTTAACATTATAGTTTAGAATACGACTGAAACGGCGGGGCTTTTACTTTATGCAGGCTGAGTCCTTACAAACCCAACCATAGATCTCTAATAATATCATTATGCCAAGTCTGAGCGCACCAGTGCCGCCTGGGGCAGTGTTATATAAGCAGCTACAATTTGAAACTATCAAGTTCTGGTTGTGTTCTAACTGAAAAGCACGGACTATATAATACATACACCTTCGTATATGCATATATATAATAACAATAAAAGTTATCAAATGTGGAAAATAAGATTAAATAATTTGTTAATTTTTTACATGTAATAAAAGTATATACATATATATTAATTATATAACACCATTTATATTTGCAAACTAAAGCCTTTACTAAAGTCAATACAACGCCATATATCAATTAAAACACGAATAGTATGAAATATAGTACTAGTATGGCGTATCCACCACCCACCTAGAATTCAGAATTTGAAGGGAGAGAGCAGACTATAAAAAATTACAGATGAATTTAGTCGCGTACGTATTTTGATCTATCCTACTATATTCCTGGCTGAGGCTTTCACTTATTCCATAATCTTGTCGTAGAGTAAACCCGTATGATTTTTAATCTTAGAGGTTGCATAACGAATGGAGATTTCGAGTTCCATAGGCCTTCTGTGTACTGAATCTACAACCGACTTAAAAAAAAAAACTGTTTTCCATAAACGTGCTGGTTTAGTATCTGGGGATCTATAATGTCTAGAAGTGTTGGACATAGAGAGAAAGGGGAATATAGATCACATAATAAATTTTCGGCGGAGGCCTCTGCTCCCTCAGCACCTTTCTAAGAAAACTTAACCCTCATTTTCTGTACTAAATAAGGGCCATTTTCACTTCCCCTCCAGACGTCCTATCTGTGAACACCAATCTACTATCGGCATCTTACCCCTATATCACACCAAGACAGGTTATAAGTACAAGTGAAACGCAGCTAGTAATCCCTGAACTATTACTCACTTCAAAAATATCAATAAAGCCTTTAGAAGCAGCAATTTCCATAATGGTTAATATAGGGAAAACTAAACATTGCCACTAGAGTCCTAAGTTTGGGTTCACAAGAAATAAGCGCCAGTGGTTTAGTGGTAAAATCCAACGTTGCCATCGTTGGGCCCCCGGTTCGATTCCGGGCTGGCGCAATTGCTTTTTGCTTGTGCCAGCCAGCTATCTTTTATAGCGTTGGAGGGATCTGGGGCATGGTCAAGACCGATCTTTAATTTGAGGATTGGAAAAGATCCATGCAAATTGGGTTCTGGCGGAGTCTTTGCCTTGAAATAAGTTTGATATTTCCCATTGATCTTGTACCTTCCTATAAACTATTTTATGTGGACGTCGTGAGTAAATATTTCTCATCTGGGATGCCACTGGTTGAATTGAGATGTAGAGGGTTTTGTTCTGCTACAAATGTAAGCTTTGGCCCCTTTTATCAGCTGCATAGCCTATGCCTCTCTGGACTTGTCACCAGCTTACATTTTTCTTTTACTATAAAGGAGAGTAAATGCCGGTTGTAATTGTGCGGAACCCCTTGAAATAATGGTCTTATGACCATCTACTACAAGCCATGTACAAAAACGATAACCGTGGGCCGCAAAAATGGGCGAGCAGTCTGATATCTTGTGTATACACTTCTTCATCCGCAATTATCGAAGAAGGAAATGCTGACTAAAAGTTAAATGCCGCCTTAATTTTCTTTAACCCTGTTTCTTCCTGGTTTTACCATCGATTGAGGTTTCTAATGTGTTTTCCATTGAAAAGTTTTAAACCACCCTGGTCCAAGTACACTACAGTCACCCTACACAACGATCACCTAGGATACTATCCTGCTTAGAAACACCCAACAATCTTCTATGAAAACTGAGTACATCCCAGTAGGTGTCTTCACTCTAGAGTCTTGGGCCCTCATCTTGACGCACCTAGCGACTTTCCGTCAACGCGCCATAATCGCTCATAGCCAGGGGAAGGAAGAAGACTGCAAAAACCAGAGGATTCCACGGGCCATATGAATATCTCCTGGTATATTTAGATACCTAAATCAGATAACCAAAGCTAAAACAAGCCCTATATCGACCTATCAAGACTCCAATCACATGCAGCAAAGGCCTTCAATCATGTCACGGATCAACATGACATCCAATGATGGAAGTTTCACAACGGAGGTTGTATAGTGTAGTGGTTATCACTGTTGGTTCTGATCCAATAAACCCCGGTTCGAATCCGGGTACGACCTTTACCTTTTTGCTGCCTTTATCCCACCTAGACAGAGCCTTTGCGTTATCCAATTAAATCCGGCACAGCCTCTGGGCCATCAGAGTAAGCTTTGGCTCTGATAGCCCTCAACCAGTAAAACGGTTAAACATTGGCTACAGGCAGAAAAGATAAAAGTCTCTGCCTAAATAGGCCAATCTGGTAGCTATAATTAAACAAAACAAATGTCTCGGGTAACGCTTAAGAATGAAAGACTTGTGCCCTTTATTCCGCCATTAATTACCAGCACAATCAGCCTGTATCTTTTGTTTTGCAGGCAGTAGACGAGTTTAGATATCAGACTAGTCGTATATTCAACCTTGTTGAAAGGCACAGGTAATATCTCTTTCATCTCTCTGTTGTTTTTCTCTCACGGATCCCTATTTATGCTACTTCCCCGTAAGGGTCCACCGACTACTGGGCTCAGCAAGCCATCACGAGGTTTCCTTAGTTGTATGGTACGAAGGGGGTCCCCAAAAGAATAACTGGCCTTCATCAGCATAAAATATGCGTGACGCCTAATCTTAATCTAATCAGAACACGATGAAAAAGAGGATAAGTCAAAGGATACCCTTTGGACCATCTTTGCGGTACAAACTTACGGTCCAGCCTTAACTATTTGTCTCTCCGGGATTATTCACTTTTAGTCTATTCAACCGGAACATCTTAACTGAGACTTAGCTTATCACCCCGTAAATATCCCACTTACCTGGATATTTCCCCAAGTATAAGCCGCTACAGCAGCATAACACTTTTAAAGGAATATCTTCAAAGACTGAAGTTCCTATCATTCAATATATAAAACAGTAGCCTAAGTTTAAGCACCATCCCGTAAGGGTAGATTATGGGCGTGTGGCGTAGTTGGTAGCGCGTTCGCTTAGCATGTGAAAGGTCTCGGGTTCGACTCCTGACTCGTCCATTTTTTTGGATCACCTCATCCTGATTAAGTTATGTAATTGTTGTACCAGGTTAAAATACTGATACTAAAAGCTTTAGCGTAAGGGTATCTCAGACGTCTAGAGATTAAGGTTGTACCGCGTCCGAACAAACATCAACAAAAGTCATTGCCCATGTCAAGTCTAGTTTTGAAAAGAGCCCGTTTGAGGGTGCCGCATTCCTCATACAAAGAGGCAAGAAGGTACGGGATGAGCAGGGAGTTGAACTCTGGACCATTTACACCTGAGGCGAGCACCACAAAACTAGACAATTCTGCTGAATTCACACCCATGGCCAAATACTCATATAACGAGATCTCTATCCTCTGAGATAAAGTCAGTAGCCAGCGAAGGGGGATATCAACTACAGGAATATCTTCAAGCTAGGAAAACCAACGGGAATATGTGCTTATTATACTCAGATCAAAACCCTATATGATAGATTATGGTATGACGGGCAACACTTAACATACGAAAGGTTCCTTACCTCTCCCTGACCAATTATTTCCAAGATTCCAAGCAGCGGAAATGGGCCTCAAGTCCATAGCGTATAGAAATTCAGCTTAACCTCAAGGTTAAAGTATACTGGAATACACTTTCTTGAAAACAGAGATAACCACCAATACCGATACTAAGCACAAGCCCTTCGGTGACCGAAAATCTGCAATAGAGACAGACAAAGAACAGTATCCCGTTTTCTCCGTAGAACGAGACAAGAGCGAAATGGTTATTTTCGTGCCATGGAAAACAGGATATCAATTGAAACCAAGGATGCTGCGACAGAATGGCTCATGCCTATCTCTCTCCGCCTATCACATGTGAACTCAAGAAGAACATCCACAACCTTACCGCTTCCATCTGCGTCTCCTAACCACCACCGCCTAGTAAATATATCTGAAATAAAAGTAATAAAATATTAAAATTCAAAGTCCAGCCAGTACATGATCTTATAGGCCCTAGATAACCTTCTTCTGTAAGAATATTTTGGAGCTGCAACTGTAGGCCCATAAGTAAAATATATCATATTTACAGAGACTTGAGGCTCAAGCGAAGGCTGACAACGATATTTCAATTCCTACGCTTCATACACTCGATGCTGGGCATCAAACTAACCTTGTACTCTACGCAGTTGAGCCTCTATGAGGTTCGGTATTTAAATATCAATTAGGTAAACTGAAACATCCAGGCCCACTGATTCAAGTCCCAAGGTCTAGAAACCATTCGCTAGCCATCTCAGCATACTTCTCCAAAGCAGTGCTTGTCATTCTCGAAAACATTTAACCTGATAACGGGCATAACTGGTAACGGTAAATATGAGGCCACTAGTAGCCGATAAAGCCAATGTCGCGTCGGCTAAAGAAAGCTTGAAGCTTAGTAAAGGAAGCAGGAGATCAACATCCGATACCTATACAGAGAAACCAAGACAAATGAATTAAAATGTATGCTTGAACCACTGTAGTTGAATGCAGTTCAAACATAGACAGAAAATTAGAGAGAGAATAAGAAGGCTACTATGTTGTAAAGTAAGCTCTACATACACCAGTCATTTCTAACCAGGTACTTCACAAAATAGAGGACCAGCTAGGAGAGCATCCACCAAGTGAAGGGGTGGAGTAATGGAGAGAAACATGAGAAAGCGGTAATGCCAATCATTAAATATGTGGTGGGCAGACTATAATATCCTAACCGCTAAGGACTGGATCTGATGTGCTAGGCCAGATTTCCAAAGCTTAGAACCACTGGGAGAAAAAAGGTCAGATAACTGTACCTTATACACCTAAGATATAGTTATATTTCGACCATGGCATTATGAAGCAGGTTCATTTATAGTCTCACTCCAAAATCCATAGCCCGTTATACCTGGGAGAGTTTAATTCAGAAGCTAGAGTTGTATAAAGCATTCACCCCCTTATAAAAGTAGCACCAAGTTCAAACACAAGAGGTAAAGAAGTAAGCATGTAAGCAAGGAACTCCTACAATGAAACTTTCACTAAGCCATCCAAATGTGAATCACAAATAATAATATCCTACATCATCAAAGTTTTATGACACGGTCGTATCATCTTATGAGAGTCTAGGCATATTATCCATGACTTGGTGGGATCATATTTATACAAATATGTGAACTAACCTCCCGATCATTGAAACATCTGGATAGAAATTAGGGTAAGTATTTCTGCATCCATTTTGATTACTCTGGACGGCAATGGATGAGAAGTACTCTTTCTCCAACATGACTCCGAAACCTTATCTACAAGTCTTATAGGGGTCAAGGTTGTCCAGAAAATAGTATATTGGCACTAAGCTGTCTGCCTTGTATGCATAGGAGGTCCCCATTTTGGTTCATCCGTACATATAGGCTCCATTCACTTCTGGATATAACTATTTCAAGCGACAATATTGGAAGATATACAGCGTACACAAGACCTTGAGGCCACTGTTAACTACAAGCGGGATACACTGAGACAGAAGGCACAAAACTTTGGGGTACGTTGCTAAAGGTTTTCCATAGCTACTTGAAGAGAAGCGACTATATACGAAACACTTGGGCTATTCAAATATGATCATCCAAGGATGCACCCGACCAGGTGCATACGTTATTATACGAATGTCGAGTAATCAACGATCTCCGTAAAATCCTGCTGCTTATAAAAGGCACGGTGTAGAAATCCTTACTCGTCACACGAGAGCGCCCCTGACCTGGGAAACTTACTAGGTCATAGATATAGCACTATAATATGTTTAATACACGATTTACACTAAGCGTAATAATTATAGCACTTAAACAGAGTTCCAAGTATTCGGATACGGTTACTAATCGATGGATTTTGAAATTACACAGGCATTGTGCCTAGTTTAATAGCATAGCAGTGACAATAATTTAAACATACGGTGACAACTGTCAACCTCGACTCTTTTCGAAGGAGTTTGTTAATGTGCAATGGTATCAGAATGTTACATTATGAAATATTGGTTTACAGCCCGAGCAACATATAGAGAATATATTCTGTCATAGTGACGGCTTGGATACAGATATAATGAATCATTACACAGTTTATTCATGCGTTAAGAAGAAGGAATTATATAAAGAACTTGATATTAGATGCAAACCTCTGAGATAATTTCTTACCATATTATAGTAAAGCTAGAGTCACCTGGAAGTAAGATACTGGATAATAGAACTGAATGTTCAGGGAGCGATAATTAGCTATATCAACACGTAAATTTAATAAAAAATAGCATCATGAGAGTTGCCCGACGTACTCACAGGACTGAGCACTAAGGAGACAAACATATAGGGAGTAATTCAATACTCAAAATGGGGTGTGGGCTTAAATGAGTTAAAATACCTTCATTTAAGCAATCCAAGTTAATGCAGTACGCAGACTGGAACGCAAAAAATTAATATTCGTGAATACTATGGCTACTAATGATGAAATAACAGGCGAAAAAATCCCATCCTATGAATATATGCAGAAAACATTGGTCTTCAAAAAAAGTTGTATATTATATATACAATAACCACCAAACCACGGTTCCTAAGTACCTCAAAGTTGACCAATATATGGATATAATGCTGATCTACAGTGAAATATACATTTGGACCCTTAATACTTCATTTGTCCCACGTATTCGGTGAGTCGATTAACCGAGGTTCGATAAAACTCCATACTATACATGGCTCTCATCTTTATCCCCACAATACTTAGATTCCATATCTATTTAGGGACTGAATAACCTTGCTATGACATCCCCTTTAAATTAACGTATTATTAGCGAACCATGGACTCGCGTGCAACTCAGCCATAAGGAATTAGTATTTTGAAATTAGGTAGCATAGGATGAGAAACCGTGAAAAAAGGTCTTTGTTTCAAAACCTACCGCATCTCTTGGCTCAGTCGCATACTATTTATCGAATTCTTCCAAAGTCACACGCGTATTTTCGTTATAGGAAACCGAAAGTTGTCCGATTAATAAACGACAGTAGAAAAATTGTCTTTGGAATTGAACAGCTCCGTTATATCTCTTCATCCGGCTCCTGCCGTTTCCAAGTAACTGAAATGACGCGCTGAGATAGCATAATGATAAGGATCTGTATCTCTTACATCCGTAAGTTTGCTTAGGTAGACCAATGACTTACACCTCTCCTTGTAATACCCGCAAACTATGATAATACGTAACTATAAGCAGCCTACAGGAACTTCGTAGATTCTTGTCAAGGTTATACTTGTAGTCAGGAGAAATGAACCAGCCTGTTATGGGTCGACTTGGACCAGCTCTCTTCTCTTTAATAGATTCTTAGCGTGTGGTATTGTACCACACTGACTCGGAAACCTCCGAGAAAATATTCAAATATGATGCAACAGAGAGTATCTAGAAATGTAAATGGCATTACCTGAAAGTATACAAATACTTTCCATTACCAGTTCAACATTTCTGGTCCTCCAACGTGTTCATTAATGCTCACCTATCAGACCATGAATGTTTCTCATTGGTACTAATGTGATATTCCGCCAGATAGAATAGTGCCAAGTGGCTGTCGATAATTGGCATGCAAAATAGTTTCGGATGGACAATATGCAGCTGATATGAATACTATTGCAGTATCTATACCTGCATTTTTTGCATGTTGTGTTTTGGTAATCTTTATGGTATCCTAACAGCCGAGATTGGGAATAGGACGTTACATCTACACCGGGGTTCGGCCATAATTTAGTACATCTAGATAATTTATCAACATACAGTGCAAGTACAAGAGTAGAGTATAGAGATAAAATACCTTCCGTCTGAGTATCTACTCAATTTTTCGATATTTCAAACTATTAAACAGTATCTAATATTTTATTGTTTGACCCGTTTGTATCTTTCTACAAGCACAATTCCCCATTAATTACTAGACATCCCAGTACCATTTACCAGGCTATAGCGGAAGTCCTCATAGGATTTACGGTATACCAGACAAGAGTGTGTGAATAACTATAACCTGAAGTGATATGTCATTTTGGTGAAGCTTTTTACCAGGTTGTTGCATGTTATTATTATTATTCCGTCTTGATCTTGCGCTATACAACTACTGTAAGAAATAATCTACGTAGCTCTGCCAGAGGGTTTCTCCACTATGTTGATTCCGGTCTTAATACTGGGGTAAAAGTATTCAGAATGCTTGCATACATGATCCACTGGCTTGAGTATGTTATTTTATTTGACGCTCCTGTCGTAAATGCTATGTAGAGATATACGCATGGTCTATAAAGTGGTACATAGCTATAGGACGCAAGTTTTTACTAAACTAGTACGTTTATAGCCATGTTTTGCTAGAAAATTGAATGCTTGAATATTGTGTTCTTTTAGATTATATCCCATGCGCGTAATTATTTGCACAGTTTTGAATAGCTGAATGTAGACATGAAATTGAGAATCAGGATTATGACATGTTGTTCAAGGAATTAATTTCTTCGAAAGAGCTTGCAAGAGACACCTATGCTTAGTGAATATTTTATGACTATAATTAACTTGATGTTTGCCTTGTAGCATATTCTACGGGCTCGTTTTTATCTATATTTGTATTATATACTGCTACAGGCAGTGAAAGGAAGTATATCTGCGTACACTAATTGAACAAGCGCATAAAGTTATTTGTCTAAATTTTAGACCATATTGGATTATTCACTCCTTATGACGGCACACTGTTCTCATTAGTAGAAATACGGCTTGGCTAAGTGCCCCAGGGCATTTATCCTATTTTGTAAGCTTCCGACAGAGACAACATTCACTTGTCAAATATGGTATGCAAACAACCAGGAGAGTCGATAACGATACATGTATGGTAGGAAAATACTCCCTGATGAGATTGTAGTGCATTTAGATTGTTTAAGGTTGTATTGACTAATGTCTCGAGCCCACAGTTATGTATAGTATTATTTTGGCAATTTCCGATAAAGCACCATAACAATATCCGTTCTGTTATGGTTATTTGGGTAAACTATTTATAGTTTCCGTTCATTGTTGCTTAGTATGTTTAAAATGTATTTGTCCAAAGATATTTCGAGTCTTATTTTAATGCATGATAACAAAACAGATTCATAATTCGTCTGTAAAGTCATATAAAGCCGAAATGCATAAGTGTTTCACCCCGGAAGATGAAATCAACTATTTCATATCAGGAGGTCAAACTTCTTGGATACTTTCCATGTTGTTTCTGGGGGATTTTATGCACTTTCTAATATATCAAGACGTCTCCTGGCGTTGGAATACGATTTTTAATCGGAGACTCAGTCAACTATTTCTGGTTATCCTTCATTACGAATGGTGCGCTCTATTGCTGAATTATATTTTAAGAGCCTTTATCTCCCCGATTTCATCTAAGGACACTCTTTTGTCTATTAGGCTTATATTATTCTGTTTACCCTACCCATAATGTTATTAGATATAATTTGATATCCTGATTTCGCAAAACAGAGGTGCCAATATTTTGTTCAGCGTATAGGCTATGATGTAAAATTTGCTTTAGTGAAGATTTTGGTCTCATATGGGATACCGGTCCATTTATAGCTTGTATATCCGATTTGGTAGGAAAGTTGTTGGTGCCATTAGAATATTAAATTTAATAAGTGAATGCCAAAATATTTATCTGTATCCTTTATTATGTACTCAATATATGAAGGCTTTAGACTGTTGAATTTTTCAATGAATGTTATGATTTATATCATTCTCCTTGATATTCTTCTGCGGCAATACATACTGTGCTGCTTCTCATAAGCACCAACCAACTGAAGCTATTTCTAATTCCTTCATATGTGTATGAACACGGCAAGCTATTATAAGAGCCATATTTCTCTTTACGTGTGCTAGTTTCTTTTTTAGAGGTACTATTATCTACTATAGACGCTTGATTCTTAGTGGTTTACTGTATCTACAAGGTGTGCTTGGACTCAGAAATTTTATGATTCGTTTGCATGGACAACTAAATCTGAATGATAGCTATCTCTTAATAATGGCGGTTTGTGTCTTATTTTATTGATCTCTACATATACTGAACCCTGAGCTGTTAGATGCTAGTTGCACAGCGGGGCTATCGAAAGTCTGCTTTCAGATATGTTGCTAACTGTGTAACAGTCCCCTTTTAGTTCTAAATTCTGTAGGATATGGCGTCATATATTTATCGTTGTTACTGTTTAACTTCTGCGTCATTTTACATTTGAACGTGGAAGAGAGAAATTGCTGCGGGTTTGATACTTTTTGGGCTATAAGTTAGTGAATCTCTCTTATTACCTCTAATTTTTGAGGTGTGGCTGTCTTATGTGAGTACCCTATAGACTTTGGTCGGTATGTTACTGTAAGGGGTCTTTATTCTCCCCTGTTTTTTTTTCTTTATTTAAAGGATTTTCTCTCCTCTTGTAAGAGCCTGTTTTACTTGTGCTTCTTGGCTAGTGGCCGATTGTGTTTTGAGAAGAGTGGAAATACCTGCTCTTCTTCCCTAGTGGACTACGATGCTTTTTAGTCGTATGCTAGTGTTCTGCTTTATCTGTTGCATTCCAATAGCTACTAACTGTCTGTACTAGCGTCCGTTTATATCCAGCCTTCTGAGTATATTTCATAGGTTGAATCCAAGTACCTGTTTCGGACCTCCATAATGTGATGTAAAATTTATTGAAACGATGTTTACATATACCTTGCTTTCTGTAGTATCTAGCGATCATGATGCGATTTGGCTTCGTGAAGGAATCAATTCAAACGGTTTTATCGTCTGAACCTACTCACCGAAACAAAGTCTGAGGTATTTCAACTCATAGAAATTTGTGGTCAGGTAACCTGATACATGAAACATGGGGATGTGGCCGAAAAATTGGCACTAGGGGAGAATAGGAAATTAGCCTCATCAAATCTAACCTCATTAATAGCTGAAAGGTTGGTCTTAGCTTCAATATGTCGACCCCAGGAAACCTAGTGAGATGGTGCGCTGAGCCTATTTTTCCTAATCGTACCAGGTGACAATATCTCTATGTGTCAGGCTCATCACAACTTCCTTAGGCATGTGCGCCAGATTACCGAGGCTGTACGTATGGGACTTCGTCGACAAGGCCAAATATTTATAGAAATAGGTTAATCGGATAGGTTACCTAGGTACGTCTCTAGTTCTGAGCCTCTAGGTCATTAAAGGTCCCTTGGGTGAGGTATGGCCTTGTTGATTTTTCTCGACAAAAAGGTAAGCCCGACGTAGCACTCCCACCCGCAATCAGGGATAAATCACACGCTCTACCGGAGTAACCAGGCTTACTGGTGCTCAGCAAGAGGAATTTCTAAACCTATACCGAAGGGAAAGTGGCTGCAATGTGTCTGTAGTGTAGGTGTGGGAAAGACGATTTAACGTATCAATAATATATTTAAAATTGAATTTAGCATATAATCTAGAAACTCTTTCAATAAAATATACCTTACTGAAATATGCATAAATATTACAATATATATTGCTTTCTAACTATACGTTTATTTACATTATACACAACCAAAATCTTTTAAAGGAGAATGTAATTTCTTCCATCCATAAGCCAGAAGGTAGTATATTTTACCATCTACTGTCCTACTAAGCTGGGTATCGCAACATCTATCTAACAAAATGCCCTGTGGTACTCTAACTAAACTTTGATAGCTGACGGAGGTTACCCGCACCCGGAAGGAAAAACTATAGAGAGCCCTTCCTCTTGTCCTCCTTGCTCTGATATTAACATTAATAGTAGTTATACTATCTCGATTAATATTATAATATTATAGATATATAATCTACTATTGGAACCTTTCGGCTCCATTTCAGCACCATGATGGTGTTAGATCAGCCTATCATTTCAGTTAAGTTCCCCCCGACTGATTAACACCTTGCCAGAGAGAAAATTCCGTTTCGGTTCCGAAGGGCAATAGCGACGGTGTACATGGGATACCTCTGGTATATTTGCATCCCTTTTGATGAAAGTATCGTACCCAGATCATTGCAGGTACGACATCTTCTAGTTTACAACTTTGTAAGCCTGACCTATATGGGACATACGAATGCTTCTTGGGTAACAGATATGTCAAACAGTGTGCCAGGGAAAGGTTACCGCGAGTTTAGCCCTTCTGTACTTTAGCCCTGCTATTTATTAAACAGTTTTGGGTTTCGAAAACGCCTACCAGTAACGCGCATACGATGTATCAATTGGAAAGCGAAGGGTATTTTTATTGGAATATACTATTATATCTCAAATTGCAGTTTTGAAAATTTGTCAGAGTTAGAGAGTTGTTTCAGGAACCTTATGAGGTTCCAGTTGAGGCTACTAGGATTATTTGATAATGAGTATCTGAAACTAATCCTGTCG